GATTTCGATGCGGCACTCCGAATCTTGACCCAGAAGCAGAATTTAGGGCATGCTATCGAGGAGGCGGAACAAGTTGCGAAGTCGGTTCAGTGGTACACTCCGGAACAAGCTATTGCTCTATGGGAAGCAGGAGCATATCTGGTTCAGAATGAGAGCTCCCCAGAGGCTCGACGCAGTGGTTCGCTGCTGCTCGAAGCTGTCGCGGCACGACAAGATCTGTCCCCAGCAGCCCGGCGCACGATCTTCGAGTCAATATCAAGTCCTTCAGAAAGCGATGTCACACCAGCCCGTGTTCAAGCTTTGATAACGCTATCAGACCATGGCAGGAAACTGGAATTCGCCGCCTCTTCTGTCTTTCCCGTGATATCTGCCTGCCTTGTTCCACTTTATGAGGTTATCTCTTCCGTTCGGATGAAAGCAAGAAAGGTGAAGCCGGGAAAGACAAATGGACACGCCTTCGACGATGCCGTTCTGGATGACGTTCTGCAGTTTGTGGTCGATCTTATCACTCTTCAGCGGAAGCCCCCTACCAGTGAAGAAGTACAAGCACTGTTAGAACAACTTTTCATCATTTGCAAAAAGACAAGCGTTGCTGCAGATATCAAGAACTCACTCAGCGTATTCGATGCGGTCATTCTTTACGCAGACGTGCCCGATGGAAGCTTCATTCCTCTGCTTGAAGTTTTGTGCAGCATTCACGCCTCTGTCAAACCTCTGTCAGGTCCGACGTCAAGAGTTGTTCGAAGTTTGGCAAAGTCAAAGAAAAAGGTTGATATGGTCAACGAGCTATATACATTCCTGACAGAATGTTCTGAAGAAAAGAGTCGGAACCTCAACGTTGTGCGGGGAACTGTGTATGTGTTGACGGACATAATTCGTGCACACGGCCAGGACGGGATTCCAGAACTACATTTCGAGCATTTAATTGACTGCTTGAGGAGCGCCACGGTGAAGGATGATGGTCGGCTGGAGGCAGACATCCTGGATTTATGTTTGAACATCTTGGAGGGAGACTTTGTCCAAGTGGCTCTGGAAAAGGACTGGGGCGCGTTCGTCGACCTGATGAATGCGTGTTCGGCCAGGGCTGTCGATGAACCTGAGCAACCATGCCCCACACTCTCTGACTCTCAACAAATCACTCCTAAAGGCAGCGTTGTTGATGATTCCAAATCCAGTATTCTTGCCAACACCATCCAGATAGCATCTGTCCTTGAATCTCTTTGGGATCGTTTGAATAAACAGCAACGGTTAGACTCAACACGTTTCCTCATGAACGCCTGTCGCTTTATCGAGCCTCCACAGGCTGAGCTCGTTCTCGAGACCATGCGGGAGGAGCGGTTCTGTTCTCCTGGGCATGAGAATTGGCTACAGCATTCCCAGAGATTGATTCGCTGCTTCATTCGCTCACGCACCAAGTCCTCCGAGGTTCGAGTCACCGCGCTAGAGACACTGAAGGAATCTTTTGACAGTCCCGAGTCACTTGGCTACTTTGAAGAGAAAGGCCTACTCAAGATCATGCTGGAGAAATTGAATGAGGAGGATGACATAATGCTGCTTGAATCACTGCTCGCTTTTCTGGTTGCCATTTCCATCACAATCAACAACCAGGAATCATTTGATCAGCTAATCCAAGTCCTCAGCTCTCCCATGAGTAAGGACCTGGAGAAGGAAAGTCTCACGGCTTCGGAGCCAACCGCGCTATCTCCTGACCGTCAATCGTTCACTAGTGTATTAGAGTCGTCTCTAGCTAATGTTTGTGCGGCTGGACTTGTGAAAATCTTTCTGCGAACGCTTAACATGTCGGCAAACAAGGCAACCACAGTGTTTGAGGCCTTGCTGAAGATAGCGCAGTCTCCTGAATGGCCAGTAGATTCGCGTCTAACATCTCTCAAACTACTCTACAGATTGCGATGCGATGCCGCCGGGTCTATTACTGTTGTCTCGACTCCTGAAGATGATTTCATGATGCACGTGTCTGGTAGAAGCTTTGACGCTGGCTCCAAGCCCCATGAAGATTTCACTGGTGACCAGAGTGCCGACAACGACCAAGGGCGAACCATTTCAGCCGGTCGACACCTGCCACGAGAGCCCTCAGGCAGTCTTCTCTCCAGGTCAGCCAGACAGAACTCCGTTGCTCCCCTTCGATCCTCCAAGCCGACGCCCCCGTCCTGGACATTTTCCACACCCCAAGTCCTCCCAGAGGAACCTCCGGTTGAGGCTAGCCCTTATGTCTACGCTTACGCGACCGCCAATGCATCCAGTCCGGTCGAATCGGACCCGACACAGAAGGTAGCTTTGAAGGCGAACATGTGGTTGGAGACGGTCATATCACTCTTGCAGCGCGAAACAAATTGGGATATCTACAGCTATGTGCTGACCCACTTGGCAGCTCAGTTACAGAACAAGGATCTGTTCAGCAACGCTGTGCCTCAGATCAAGCTGCTGCGCAGTGTCTTATGTGATCAGGTCAAGAACGATAGTTTTCGTGAACCGCCACCGTCCACTGGCACTAAGAAGACTGATGTTGCCGGGTACATATTCGAGTTTCTATGCGCTTTGATCAGTTATCACGAGCACTTTGCCAAGAGCGAAGAAGATGAGCTTGTGCGCGCCTTCATGATGGGTATCATCGGATCTTGGGGTGGCACTTCTCGTGGTTGCATCCATGCCCTATCTGTCTGTTGCCATGAAATCCCTTTATCGGTGACAAAGTCATTGAACGGAATTCTCGACAAAATGTCCAAAGTCATTACGATGTCTAATCTCGCCGTCCATATTCTGGAGTTCCTGGCCCTTCTCGCCCGCCTACCTGAGGTCTATGTCAACTTGCGAGACGAAGAAATCCGGACCGTCTTTGGTATATGCATTCGATTCCTGCAAACTTCTAGAGAGAGTCGGTTTAAGACAGACTCACCTACCCGAGTCACCCCTGGCGCTGTTAGACTTGGAAGCACCGGGTCTTTGAATTCTCTCCCGGAGTCGTCAGAGGATGGAATGTCCAAGTACATCTACACATTGACATACCATGTCATGGTGTTCTGGTTTCTGTCTCTCAAGCTGCAAGACCGAGCGAAACATGTCAACTGGATCACCAGCAGACTCATATTCAAGGATGAGCATGGGAAGGAAACGGTTGAAGAACAAAGTCAAGTATTTATCGATTTGATGCAGAGAGCCGCTTTCTCAGATCTCGGCGATACCATCCCGTACCCGACATTCCCACCCTCTCCTGAAGATGGTCCCGCGTCGAAAAAGTCCTGGATTGTCGGCATGAGTATCGTGACTGTTGAGACAGCCGGGGTCTCTGGCCTAACCCAGGTGACCAAAAGGCAGGCATCAGGTACCACGTACGCGATGTATCAGCAACGCACCGCACCTGTCCTAGCTCACCAAGTCTCCGCGGCTCCTGATGCCCATCTGCATTCTGACGCCATGCGAACTGCCGTTCTACCTAGTCATGTAATGCTGCAGCTGACCACCACGGCCTTCCCGACACCTACCGTTATGCAGCCCATCCTCTTACCCGATGATGACATGACCCGGCGGGCCCTCAGCAGTTTTGACCGCAATGACATTGTGGATGGGCACAAGGTTGGCGTGCTGTATGTCGAGAATGGCCAAACCACGGAGGCTGAGATTCTGTCCAACACTGGTGGTAGCGCCGACTATGAGTATTTCCTGTCGAAGCTTGGAACCAAGGTTCCTCTCCAGGGTGCCCGCTTCAATACTCAGGGCTTACATGCTGATTCCGATGGTGATTCCACCTATGCCTGGAGGGATCGGGTGACTGAAATTGTGTTCCACGTTGCGACAATGATGCCCACAAACTTCGATCACGATCCGGCCTGCATCAACAAGAAGCGTCACCTCGGCAACGACTTTGTCAATATCGTGTTCAATCGGTCGAATACGCCTTTCAACTTCAACACGGTGCCATCGCAATTCAATTTTGTGAACATCGTCATCAATCCCATCTGCCGGGTCACAGAAGAGGCGGGAGTATCCGACCTGAAGGGATGCAATTTCGACAATCTATTCTACCAGGTGAAAGTCATGAGCAAACCCGGGTTCCCGGAGATCTCGCCTGCCGCCGTGCCCAAGGTCATCTCCGGGAAGAACCTTGGGGCATTTGTGCGGATCCTTGCCCTGAACGCCTCGGTGCTCTCCCTCGTCTGGAACAGCCAAGGTGGCGAGCACGTCTCATCCTGGCGCAACCGGCTGCGCGAGATCAAGAGACTCCGCGAGCGCACCCTCGGCGCCCAGGCGCAGAACCCGGAGACCACCGAAGCCACCTACCCGGGCCAGCGACGCAACACGAAGGCCAACATCTTCTCCGAGGAACTCCCGACCCGCGCCGCTTCGGTCAAGAGTGACTTCTCCATGGACTGGAACGCAGCAGCGGATGCGAACATCCTTCAGAACCTGGACTTTTCCCGCTGGGGACGCTGAGTTAGTCTTTCCCATCATCGGGCTTATTTCCGGCCACGATGAGACATCTCAACGGCGATCCGGTCTCCAGGTGGAAAGGTTCTATTGTTCAATCCAGCATGCAGAATGGAGGAAAGCCTGCTCGGTATCCCGTGACATCGGTTCTCCCTTTTTTTGTTTTCTCTTTATCATCTATGTCTCTTATTTTCCCACACCACTGCCATGATGAACGAAATGTATATCTTAACTTTATTTTCTATCTTATCCTATTCCTATGTCCTGCGGTGTTTTCTTGTAAATACCCCCATTTGCCATGCAGCGTGCAAGAAAAGTTGTTCTTCGATTGTTTGTTCTCGAAAAAAAAGAATCTCTCAAGCCCCCATTTCTGTCTATTTCAGCCTGCTCAGGGATTCGAAACTTTTTGACGCTAGGTTTTGTTCCATTGTCACACACACTGGAAACAAACACTATGTAGTGCGGTTGGTCAAGCCTGGCATCTTATGTCGTCCAGGGAATCGGGTTACTGTGCTCAATTGAAGAGAAAAGTCGATACTTCGCTGTAGCTAGCTCACATGATTCCAGCAGTACAGGCACGCTGAGTCCGGATCATTCAGCTGACAAGGTCCGTGTAAAGGTATCTACTCCCTCTACCCATAGAATCGAATCATCATCCACCGATATACATAAGATAAGAATTCTTGCCCCGTAGGGAGCAAGCGGAGGGGGACAGCAGCACATACACGAGCGCAAATCACCGCGAGTCAGCCCATGACCCTTTCCCCAGACAGACGGCACATCAAGTCCAAGTCCAAACCCAGCCGCGCGCGGTCCGGGAGGGGGCATGGCTAACTTAGATCAAATGCCATGCCACAGAGTGACTGGAACAACGCACTTTGTGTACGGTACGGTACGTAGTACTGGACTGGACATGTACACATCCAACATGCAACAACCACCTGCGCAGCACCGACAGAGACGGTTTGCCAAAGCTCGAGTCCCACCGGGACCGGGACTGCCTGGACTTGCTCTGCCCCTAAGACCAAGAAACCGACACAGCTGCAGCTCCACCTAACTGCTCGCTCAGCCCGAATCCCAGGCCCTGGGTACTCGACAAGGGAAAGGAAAGAAAGAGACCGGGGACGTGGGAACCTTGAAGGGGATGGAGGGGGTTATACCGTGGACCTCGCGCAATGCTCAGGTGAACCTTGAACCCCGGGCTTCCTTCCACACTCGGCTAGTAAGGTGAGCTTGGAGGTTCTCCTGACTCGGCTTGGACTGCGCAGTCGAGGGCTGCTTCACGCCATCGTCATCAGATCAGAAGGGCGACGTAGCGGGGCCGGGACGACGCTCCACGCCACCACTGCCCTCGCCGTGGTTCTCGATAGGGAGATGGTGACTACCCCACATAACGGCCATGGGTTCTACGACCATACCTTCAAGAACAACTAAGTCTCGACTCGGGAAGTTCCAGTCTCCGGTCGAGCTAACACGAATGTCGTCATCGCGTATACTTCAATAGAGATAAAGCGTCCCTTATGCTACCACCCCAACGAATACGATGCGCAACTACAATCTAGATATCGAATATTGGACAAGCTGTCTTCGAAGGAGTGATGGGAGTCAAAATTCATGTACCTGAGTGGCCAGAAACTCATCGAGACGGGCCAATAACAAGCCGCCCGATGCTTCGAAAATAGTTACATACATTACCCAGCTGCATGTCACCCTTGAGGGACAAACCGAGACAAGAAAAGGTTCGGAGCTAGTGGTGGAAGAATAGTAAAGTGGCAGAAGAAACAGTATGCAGAAGGCTCGAAAGAGACATTCAACAAAACCAAATACGTGAACGACTTCTCGACCCTAGAAACGTGGCAGGGCGAGAAGTACCGAAGTGACCAAGCACAAAAGAATCGAACGCCTTACGAAAAGGATGAGAGGGAGAAAAAGAGAAGCATGAATCAAGAAGAGCCAGCGTCCCCTTTGCTGTACACAATGTAACCCAGCGATTGGCCCCTAGCAGATTCGGGGCTCCTGCTCGCCCAACCAATGTGAGGAAGATTGTAGAAATGGCGGCGGAGACTAAGGGGTTTCGCTGGGCATGGTGACGATAACAGGACGGAGGACTTTGCATATATGCATGGTCCCGGAGGACAACAAATCGAAGTCTTCAAATATGGATATGGAAACGAAACAAGCGGTTGGTGGGATATCGTGATGTTTTTTTTCGAGTATCGTGCAGGGAGGCGACGGCAGGTGGGTTCGGTCATTTGAGGGAATCGATTGATAACGAATGGTAGTACCAAATGGCCGCGTCATGTTCACCGGCAAGTCTCTTAATTCCATCGAGCGGAAGCCTCCTTCTCTTTGAGCCCACCCATGCGCTCGATATCCAAGGACTGGAACCGTTCCGCATCGCTCGTTTGATAGGGCGGCAACTCGTCGTTGCAGGGCTCCAAGCCGACACTGCCCGCCTCACTAATCCGCACCACCACCACACGGCCGGACTTGCGCTTTCCAGATTCATCTTCCTCCTCCGGGAAAGTAATGCGAATTTCGGGAACGGGGCTAGGCGGGGGACTCGAAGAGTTCTCAATCAGGCTGCGTTTTTCATCGTAGACAAGGACCGACTCCGTCTTAGCATTGGGCGAAGCGGACACTGTGAAGCGGCGGTGACTGGGTACGCATTGCCCGTTATGAACGGGAAGGTCGGAGTGGTCACGGCTCACCCGTCTGCGACGCAAAAAGAGCAGAGCACCGATCAGAACAAGACCGAGCAGGACGAGCACGAGGAGGGAGATAAGAAGGTCGACCATGGCGGGGGACAGCCCATCACTGCTATCATCGCGGGCAGCAAGCTTCGAAATGGTGTTCAACATTGTGATATGGGTTCAAGGAGTGTCTCCGGTTCGGGCTTTCGAAGAGATCCGGTCCAAAGTGGTAGACGAACGAGGTGGTGTTCGTGACAGGTAGGTTTCAAAAAATCGATGTCGTTCTACGACGGCCGTATTGTGACTGCGAAGGAACGGTGGTAGAATATAGGGCGATCACCTAGGATAGTCTCCAACAAATGATCGTCTGACGAAAGAATGGCGACAAGAATCAGCTGAGACGCTAATCAAGGACTCAGGGTCGTTAGGACAAAAGAGAGAATGTATGGGGTCGGTTGGTCGAGGTTGGTGGTTAGGCGTGTGGTCGGTGATATCTCGCTGGGAAGATCGAGATCGACCAGGCTGGGGGTCAGACGGACGAACGAACGAACGGACAGCAAGGTGAGCAGCTGAAAGAGTGAAGCTGACACCTGCTAAAGGTGGAAAGAGAACGTGACGGTGGTGTTGCAGGAAGATGAGGAAGGAGGAAGAATGAGGGGAGGGGTTGGTATGGGGGGGAAGGAGGAGGAGGGAGGAAGTCGTCGCTGGGGGAATGAAGAATTAGCAACAAGAACGGGAGAAAGGAAGAAAAGCAGAAAAGTGAGTGAGTGAATGAGATGGGGGGGGGAAGAAAGGGTTTGAATGGAGAGAGTGAGAGCGAGAGTGAGAGCGAGAGTGAGAGCGAGAGAGTAGGGGAGTGTCTGTCTGTCAGTGTGAACTGGGCTGGACGGCAGCAGGAACGAGGCGCAAGGGCGCTTAGGCACAACTTAGTCCTTAGTTAGTCCTTAGTCGGACTCCGTCCAAGTCCAGACTTTCGCTCGGTCGGGAAAAGCAAGGGCGACTATTGAGAGACTAACCAGAGTAAGTTTGCTGGTCAACTGGTAATTTCCATCTCTCCGCCTATCGGACCTCGACTGTCCCTGAACCACTTTCACGTTGGCCTTTTTTTAGCTCGCCCCCCTGAACCATCTTCTTGGACTCGACTTCGTACAATAATACTAGGTACACCAGTACTACCCAAGACTATCAGGTAAGACCACCTCCACATCCAACAAATAAGTGAAAAAGAGGAGCAAACAACAAAAATCCAGTCACCATCCCATGTACAAACAGCAGTATCTCTGAGTTTACAAACACAACACCGTGTTGAACTGGTGGAGTGAGACATTCTTCAAGACATGTCGGAAACTCCGGATACCGACTGGAGCAGGAAAATGCCCCCCGTACCTGAATGATCCACTCGCGCCCACCACAACAAAAACAAAAAAAAAAAAACTTTTTCGAATACTTACATCATGGGTCAAAGATCTCTTTCTTTACACAATCGATTGTTGTCTCTATCTGTGTACTCCGACTATACTGTCTAAACATGCAGCAGCAGTGCTGGCCCCAACCACCAGCAACCAGAACGGAAAAAAAAAAAAAAAGCGCATGTGACATCAGAACCACCTGTCAGACTGGACAGTCTCCATCTGTCACTCTTACTGGTGAAACACAACGACGGTTTGGACTCCGTCGTAACCGTTGGCACCAAACCCGGCCCTGACAGCAGCCACATCCACCAGCATCCAGAACAAAGTGAGGTTATTGCGGGGGAAAGGGGAAATATCACGCGACGGTTGTCGTATTCCCCATATCCTCGACATATGACAGCGTAGATTTATTTGGTTTGCTGGGGTTGTCGCATTCGATGTGATAGTTCCAGAAAACAACAACACTACGGCTACGATCAAGGCGGCGTCGATATATATAGTAACTTGACCTTAAGGGATCACGCAAAGGGCCTCTCCACAGTTCACAATGTATGTGTTACCACCCACACTTACACCCACACCTGTGGAAATTACGATGGGTAGTTTCTAAGATATATATAGGTAACACGGGTTGTCTCTCTTTTTCCTCTTACAAACTCCAAACCCGCGGGACGAACCCCTTTGGCTCAGAGACAAAGTGGTTTATACCTACCTACCTTGCACTCTCATCCCGCGAGGCAAACAAAGCTCACGAGCAATGATCATGCGAGATGCTGATTGTCTCGCATTCTTACCATGCGTCATTAATACTCGCTCATGTTGCTACTGACAGCGACTAAATACCTGGGTTCACCCAGTAACCACGTCCCCACATTCCGAATTGCGATCGGAAATGCGCGTCGACCCAGATCCTGATCTTGCAAAATAACAAAGATGCGCATCGGTTCCTCAGGTTGAATGTAACCAGTCGAATCAAGGTGGGAGAGTGTCCACGTTCTCTGCGGCGTGGGTACACAGTTGACTATAATGTCCAGTGTTGTTGATTTGAGAAGACTATACACGAGGTGCGCGGGCTTCTAGATGGAACCCACAAGTGCATACGCTGCGAAACAACTAAGTTGAAATCTATTCACCTCGTCAGGAGAAGACAGCTCCTCGACATTAAGTACATACAGCAAAACGGGACTCATAAGTCACAAACTGCATTTGACACACGCACACACACACACACTGGCCTTCTAACTACCAAATTTATATTTTCACAACGCCCAGAAAGCAAAGTAAGTTATGATTGCCATCATCAGAATCCCTCCCAATGGAACTCCCGCAAGGCTACTAGTCGTACCGCTTCTTCCCCATTCGTAATCCACAAGGTTTGCATCCTATTGCTTGCGAGCAACACTGCGCTGGCCCTGGACGACGGCCTTGGAGACCTCGTCCAGGCAGCCGGCGGCGGCAGCGAAGAAACCGAGGAAGGCCCGGCTGGGGCTCAAGACACGGCTCAGGTACTCCGGGTGGAACTGGACGCCGACAAACCAGGGGTGGTCCTTGATTTCGACAATCTCCATCCGCTCACCCTTGGTGTCCTTGCCAATGAAGGTGAGACCGGCCTTCTCGATCTGCTCGATCATGGCCGGGTTGACCTCGTAGCGGTGACGGTGGCGCTCCTCAATCTGCGAGACCGAGGGGCCGTACATGCCCCGCAGGCGGGACCATTCGGTGTTCTCCTGGAAGATACAGGGGTGCTTGCCAAGACGCATCGTCCCGCCAAGCTTGCCCTTGTCGACCTCGGGCATGTAGACGATGGCGTGGTTCTCGGCCGCCGGGTGCAGCTCCTCGCTGCCGACGTCCTCGATGCCTACCACGTTGCGGCAGTACTCCAGGACAGCCAGCTGCATACCCAGACAGACTCCCAGGAAGGGCTTCTTGTTGGTCCGGGCCCACGTGATGGCCTTCATCATACCCTCCGTACCGCGGTTGCCGAAGCCACCGGGCACCAGAACACCGTCCGCGGTGCATACGGAATGCCACGCCTTGTGGTAGTCGGCGGGGGCGGTTCCGTCCTCCAAGTGCGACGAGTCCACCCAGATGATCTTGACCTTCTTGTGGCAGAACATGGCGGCGTGCTCGAGGGCCTTGGACACACTGATGTAGGCGTCGTGGAGGGAGGTGTACTTGCCAACCAGGGCAATGGTCACCGGGTCGTGCAGGAAATCCTGTCCCTGGGCGAGGTCGACCCAGTCCTTCCACATGCGGCTGCCGCGCTCGATCCGCTCGGGGGCGGGTTGGATCGGCGTGAGATCGAGCATCTGGGTGATTGTGTTGATGAGCTTCTGCTTCTCCAGCAGAAGGGGGACGTGATACGTCGTCGTCACGTTGTGCACAGCGATGACCTGGTGTTGCTCGACCGAGCACATGTTGGCGATCTTCTGGATCGTGCTCGCCTCGAGGGGCTGCTCGCAGCGACAGGCAATCAGGTCCGGGCTGAGACCGGCACTCCGCACGTCGCTGATGGCTCTCTGTGTGGGTTTCGTCTTCTGCTCACCACCGGGTCCGGGGGGGATGACCGGCACGTAGGAGACGTGGATCTGGACAAAGTTGCCCTTGCCGGCCTTACGCTGCAGCTGGCTCAGGGCGTGGATGAAGGGAGCACTCTCAATGTCTCCGACGGTACCGCCCAGCTCGATAATGCAGACGTCCGGCTCGGCGCGGGACTCGTCAACGGGGATCCGGGCGACGCGCTCAATCCATTCCTGGATGGCGTCGGTGATGTGGGGCACGACCTGGACGGTCTTGCCCAAGTAGTGGCCGATACGCTCGCGGTTGATGACATCCTGGTACACCTTTCCCGTGGTGATGTTGTGGTCCCGAGTGAGCGACGTGAGCAGGTAGCGCTCGTAGTTGCCAAGGTCAAGGTCCATTTCACCGCCGTCATCAGTGACATAGACCTCACCGTGTCTGGGGGATGTCAATAAACGGGGTCAGCACCAGAAAGCCGGATCTCAAGATACTGACTCGGTAGGTGCCATAGTGCCCGCATCGATGTTGATGTAAGGGTCGATCTTGATACTGGTAACCGTAAGACCAGTAGTTTTGAGGAGCAGACCGGTGCTGGAGGCAATAATGCCCTTGCCCACGCCGGAAATGACACCTAATTGAGGAGTTTCCCGTTAGAGGATTTGGACAGAGATCAACCCGGGGGAGACAATGAGTTCCAACTTACCTCCAGAGACCAGAACGTACTTCATCTTTGCAGCGACCGACCGTAGAATTTGTGGTGACGACAGACGTGAACGATGCCGCAAGAGGGGTGGAAGGACGAGGCAGAAAAAAAAGTTGAGTGACTCCGATCGGTGGAGCAGTCACGTGGCGGGGGAACTTATCTTATCAAAAAACTTTCCGATAAAAGTAGATTCCCGGGTTGGCCACGACAGGCACGCTCACAAGAGAACCTAGAACGATCTCGCTATCACTTGAGCGAAAATGCCTTAGTCTTGGTTATATAGGGCCAGGAGCATATTCCTGGCAACCCCACCGACTATATCACCGTCCATGCTAGTTTGAGTCATGTCGAGTCACCAAGTTCACCGAATGCGCTTATCTAATCGAACAATCATTCAATAACTAGGCTGAGTGCTCGGGCCGTGACTACTAGTACTAACTGTACTGTACTAGTTGAAGGCAGCACTGCCAATCCCATTGGAAAGCCAAGTCTTCAGCCTAACGGATGCCTGCTTGGTCTCATCGGAGATTCTCAGCCTCGCGCTGTTTCATACAGCAGCCCGGCTGAGAAATTCTGCGTCCCCAGACGGCAATATATTTCTTAATAGCGTTGAGAACTCTCAGGCAAAGTCGAAGTTGAAGCCTTGTCGACCGATGTCTAGTTCAAGAAGCAGTTCCGAGCACAGCAGGCAGAGACCGTCAACATGGCGAAGGATCGACCGTGATGCGACCGACTCAAACAACGAGATATATATGTATACTGACAGTGACCCCGAAATCGAAGGGATATACAAGCCAAAGACTCTTCATGAAGCGGCTTACGAGGATAACTATGAAGCGGCGAAGGTGCTACTCCGCAAAGGAGCAGCGATCGACCTTCTGGACCTGAATGGAGATACTGCGCTCCACATCGCTGTCATGAAGCACTCGAATGATTTTGTACGATTCTTGATCGATCAAGGCGCAGATGTTAACCGCCTTGGCAGCGAGGGTCTGACGCCTCTGCTTCTGGCCTGCAGCCACTTTAATTACGACATCGCAAAACGCCTTCTTGAAGCGGGCGCCGATGTCGACGCCGCGGACGATAAGGGAAGAACAGCGCTGCATCATGCCTGCATTCAGGAACGCGAAGGTATGGTCGACTTGCTCTTTCAATATGGAACTCAGGCGGATCCCCGGGATAATTCCGGGCGCACGCCGTTACATCTTGCACTGGCTCGCCATCAATCCGAGATGCTGAATACGCTGCTTCATCACGGGGCAAATGTCAATGCAGTGGACCCGGAGGGGAGGGCGCCGCTGCATTATGCTGCCAAAGCGGGGTGGACCAGACCAATGCATGCGCTGCTTCGGCCTGAGGTGGATGTCGACGCAAAAGATGCTGATGGAAATACGGCACTCCATCTCGCCTGCCTCGGTGGCTTCAAGCAAGTGATGTGGCTTTTGCTTGAACATGGGGCTAGCGTACACGTCAAGGACTCCGATGGGCTGACGGCTTTGCAACTAGCCTCTAGCACAGGACAGTCGGCGAGTATAGTGCGCCTATTACAGCACTATGAGGCGAAGGCTGATACCGAGAATTTTTCCAAAGCGCGATCGCGTTCAGTCTCTCCTCGGGCCAGACTGCGTATCATGAGATCTACAAGTATCATCTTAGAGCCGAAGGAGGTCGAAGTAGGAAGCGTGTCTAGCCACGAGATACCGCGACTAAGAAAAACAGAGACAGGAAGCGAGCCGAGCGACGATAGATTGGAACCGACTGAGGACATGGCGGTAGGCTCTGAAATAGACTCTGCGCAGAAAATGCTGGGGCAGAATCACTGGGATGGCGTATGTCGGGACAATGGCGACGGCTATATCTTGGCCAAGTACGACGGTCATGACATCTACTGCGACGCCAAAATGGAGTCAATCCATTCATCATCTCACGAGGGCCAGGAGATGCATGCGATCCAGCTCAAACTCAACTTCATGAAGCCCCATTCCTTGAAACATCGCATTCGGTATGCAGAAGTCGACGTGGCCCTCCATGCAACTGACCTAAAAGCGTCGCCCAATATCCGCACAGTCATGCCGCAGGCTGACCGGGTCGAAGTGTCGGAGCAGGAAATCACCACAGGACAGAAGTTCACGGTTGGGGCGAACGGAAACGGCGGACCGTCCAGCGTCAACATCAGCATGGAAGGCTCCAAAGGAAGAAAGTCCACCTTCAAAGGCGTCCGGATAATCCACGGGGCAGTCAAAGACCGGATGCACGCCTCCTGGCGGCTGTATGAGGAGCCAGGGAGCAAGAGCGGACTACCAGAGATAGTCCGCCTCCTTCTGGTGGTCCAATGCAAAGCTGAGTTCGAGCTACGTGCGTCGTTGTCCGCGAGAGCCAGCCATTTCTTCTCGTTCGGCATCCCACGCACGGTGACAGCCAGAAAGGGGCCCGCGTACCTGGTCCCCCCACTGGCGGATATCATGTCGCTCGAGCAAGCGATGAAGCTGAAATTGATACTGGGCGTTGCGGACCGGGCGGCTGTCATGGTCGAGGACGCGAAGAGGTTGGAACAGAGAGTCACTCAGTCGATCAAGGAGCATACAAAGAGGGCTCTGATCATGGAAGCAGGGGCGAGCGAAAGCAACATCCGCGACTGGGCGGATATCGCGGATGCGTCCAGCTACGGGGACTTCGCCCTCCTGTGCGAGAAACTGCTCCAGACGAGGGAGATCGAGAGCCCGGAGGTCAGACCACGGCCGAGGCGCTGGAGCCCTGATCCTGTACCGATAGTGGAAAGATCGCGCTCACGTTGGAGGCGTGAGAGTCTTGACTTCGATGGAGATGACCGAGGATACGCGCGACGAATGCGCGCGAGGCTTGGGGTCGATGAGGCTGAAGAGGCGATTGCGCCTACACACCGCTCGAGAAATGTCCATGGCTTCTCGGCGGTTGGTCCAGGATATAAGGTATCGCGGCTGGCCTAGGGGGTTGTGCATCGAGTGGAGTGACTGTCATTGCTTCAATTAGCATGTGCTACAGCTGTATGATGATGGGGGTGGATATCTTAGCATGAATGTATCTGGTAACTTCGATGATATGGATTTCGATAGGAGGTAGTCAATTTGCAGGCAGTGACTAGTGTGAAAGCTGTAACCTCATAATATACATGATGCACAAGAAGGACCTCAAAATCGCCGGACTTTTGAAGATTTATGTATCATGACCTTTAGTGCATGTGTGATCTAGCTCCATCTGCAAAATCACATCGCATTGTTGGCATATAGCTTATAAGTAGATACATATATCTTGTAGTGGACAGGAGTGAAAGTCCAGTTTGACCAGATCTCAGATTCGAGTATACATGCAGAGCTTTGAGTCTCGTGGCCACTAGTGTAAACAATGACTTTTCAGCTGGTATACTTGCAATGAAAGGCTTTCGGGCTTCTCGCTCTCATTGAGTATTGATATCAGAATCTCACGGCCAGTCAACTTCTACCAGCTGAAACCAAACTGATACTCAGGCAGAAGGAGATCGATTTGGCTAATACATATGACTATCTCTTCGTCACCCATGATGGTTTCCAAGTCAAATGACATCATGTTCCGACAATTCTTTGACAGGCATGACATCTCCCTCGGCCTCAGGCACAGAGGGCCCTCGAGGTGATGCTTCACGGAGCCGGACCTTCTGGCAGATGTCACAACACCCAGGCCCCGGATAGAGCGGCACGGAGAATGAGTCAGTCATTCGCTCACCATGATAGACTGCAGGACTGCCGCCGGGAGACAGAACTCGTGCCGTCTTTCTCTCACTACCGTGTTTCGAGAGCCCGGCCCACGGTATAGGCTATCAAGTCCCAAGCGCGACGGCTCGCAAATGAGCTCATATGTACAAGTATCCTGCGGAAGAAGTCGGATATCTGAACCACTCGGTGCGACGAGTATATGACATACACGGTGTCATCCTCGATCAGATGCCTTGAAGAACTAATTATTTGACACAGTGGCAAAGACAATCACTTGGGCCCCCGGGTCATCGGAGAAGGGATCCCTCCATAGAGTGAACGGGCAGTGAGCTATATGCCTCGCTGGAGGTTGGGAACGCTAGCGATAGCTTCGAGCTTCGTCTTTCTGGCCCGTGATAGAACTTGGAGGTGGAGAGCCATTCACACGAGCCCCGGCCGATATTCGCTTGCGAGAGTCTTGGTGTCCCCCCTCCGGCTCCCCCTCCCCCCCACGGCATGCGTGCCCATGGCATGGATCTACAATCTATGAGGCGTGTTACAGCCAGTGACGGTCCACGGTTGGTGGATTGCTGGGCTACATACGTAGGGTAGGGGTGGGAGGAATGGGGTGGAAGTAATCGCCGCTCTTTTTGATTGAGGGTGTTTTTTTTTTCTTTCTCAAGCCCCCTATTTCAGTCACTTGCGTTTGGGCGGGGGGGGGGGGGGGGGGGGCTAAGGTGTAGTGCATTCAGAGTGGGCATTGTAGATAAGGCAAGTTTGAAGTTGGGGGGTAAGGGTGGGAGATTTGCACGCATGCAAGGTGAATTTGGGGTTGTGCTGTGCTTGGGGGGAGGGGTGTGTTTGTTTTTCGAGACTCCTCTTCAGGAGTGAAAGTCATGTTAGCCTTGCCTCGTAAATGAAACTTATCTAAAGGGACAAAAAAGACAAAAAGATTAAGGCTACTTACAGAGCTACACTGCATACGAACATCCACATGCTACCTACCTACCTACCTACCTACCGTGTGCCATGAACCTACATCCGAGAAAGCAGCAGCCATGACGATGGCAGAGGAACTACAGCCCGACGACCACCAAAGATTCTTCCCCCTCCCGTCCCCTGGAGCTTGCTTGGGGGTTCTTTGGTTCCTCGGCCGTCAAAACGGCAGGGCGGATGAAACCTAAATCGAATGTTACTTGTTTGGATGCAAGGGGGGGGGCGATTTCATGCGTGCCTCTTGGTTCAATGGAGTATGGTGGGGAAAAGTCAACGAGATAAGCTGTACGTACATTATGTGTGTATGCATTGTTGGCAGCTACATGAGTCGCACCAACTGGAGGAAAGCGTGGGGATAGATAGGGATAACGTGGGGGTGTATTGTTATTATTGTTATTGTTCTTTTGTTGTTATGGTTGCTGCTGCTGTGGTTCCCTGACAGGAACGTCGAAAAGTGCCTAACAATCGAGTCGCGCGGCTAGTAGGTATGCATTATGGAAGGGGGAGGGTGATTAGATTAAATAGCTGCATGAGACGGTGGTCTTCTCCTCACTGCTGCTGATGTTGTCCGTCGGTTGAGTGATCAAGGCCAGCGAGCATGCTTACAACCTTTGCGACGTGATGAGAGGTGGTTGGTGGTTCCATGGTTATGGGGACGCCGTTGACCATTGCATCCAATTCCACATGTCAATGAGGGGGTAGGGGGGTTCAACCCTTTCACAATCGATGGGTATCAAGAGTGCTTCTTGATCAGAACAATTGCCCCTCATTCAATAGTGAAATATGCCAGAAATCAATTGACTAATGATCGGTGCTTGGTGGGAGTGGATGGTGGTGATCACAGGCATGGAACAATAGCCGAAGGAACGCACGACTCGGCCCGGAATATCAAGGCATCATGAATCAATCCAATGTCGAAGGGTCCAAAGGTGGCCCGAGAACAATAATAAACTCTGATTTTAACAAGAAAAATCCAAGCTAGTTTAGTGGATCCGATCGATCGGGCTGGAGCGCAACTTTACCTTTACGTGGACTACCAATCGTCCTTAGAATCAACCAACCCCTCTCATTCTCATCATCATCAGACTCATGGTAAATGTTTCGAAAAATTCATCGAGGCACATGGTATATACGCCCAAAAAAATCATAGATATACAGATAAAACTGCCTCGCTGAATGACTCTCGAGTATCGGCCTGGCTAGCCTGTCCAGCCCAAGACAAGGGACTAGAAATTCATAATCGGAGGTGTTGGCTAGGAACTGATGTCCGACATTGCCGAATGACACCCTCTCCGACGTTCTTCGTAAGACCCTAACTCCCCCTCAGCCCACGGGATCTCTCTCTCTCTCTCTCTCTCGCAGTCAATCGTGCTTCTTCTGCACCATTTTGCCACCAGAAATGATACGGGAGGGGAACGGGGAACGGGGAACGGGGAAAGGGGAGAAATCCATTACGCAACAGTAGCCGAAATGTCAACCACGTCAAGACCGACAATGATGGCAACGACGGGTGGTTCTGGGGGAGGGGTGAGTTCTGACTGTGGCGGTCAGCCTATTATGCTGCTGTCCTTGGTTAGACCTCTCCCCTTCAACTTGGTTTGTGCAACCCTCATTAACCCAATCCAGGGGGTGTTTCAGTACTAGGTGTCCTTCAGGAACACTGTAAGTCAAAAGGACAGGTAAAATTGATGGGGTGGAAGGAAGTCCGGGGTATTTTTGGAGGTGGGGAAGATAATTGTTGATGGCAGTTTAGAGTGTGAAGCATGAATACTGAGTATGTACGGAGTAGTAGTACTCATAGCGATACGCCCAGACTCAGGGATCCATTGAGGGGCCCGTCGTCGCCTTAGATGGAAGCCTAAAAAAAAAAGCGGCGGGAGCGAATTTGGGCGGCCCCAGAATCAGCGCCAGTTTAGAACCCTTTGGAACTTGGACTGGAACTGGAAACTAAAGCTGGAACGAACCGTATCGGACGGAACAATTGTGGATGTGGATGGATGGACAAGCGCCCAGAGGGAACGGGAAGGCGGAGGAGGGCTGAAGAGGATCCGGTACCTGCTCGCCCAGTGCGCCACCCATACTTTGCTCAAGTACTCAAGTACTCAAGTACTCAACTCCTCAAACTCCTCAAGTAACACTGAGAGGATCGACAAGATCGTCTGTCTGGTATTGTCATTCTCCCGTACGGAGTAACTATCCTGTAATTCTTACCAGCAGCGGCCACCACCACCATGGACCACCACCACCAACTGGACCCAAAAGAATTCTGGTCGCAAGACACGCAGCATCTTTTTCTAGCTTAACTTAAGTTGCTTGTCTGGCTTGTTCAGCCGCCTAGCTACGTTATTCTGCTAGCAACTCACAACTTGGCTACCAATACTACCAATACGTACATACGTACTGTACTGCTGATAGTGTTGCTGGTTGCTTGCTTATCTACGTATCACTCCCTACCATCCATCCAACTCATCCTCCTCCTCCTCCTCTATCCATCCATCAATCAATCAATTCCTCCTCCTCCTACCTCATCCTGGCCGCCGCTGCAGACTGAGTAAGGCCCTTCCTTTTGCTTTCTCTCCTCCCTTTTCGTTTCCAGTTATCAATTCTTCCCTCTCTCTCTCATTTTCTCCCTCCCTCTTCCTCCCCTTACCATTTGTCATTTTTTCTTCTTTTCTTGACGGGGTCGCCTTTGGTGCCTCTTTTGTGCTACCGACTTTCACTTGTCGCGGGTCAACCCAGTTCGTTTTTTTCAGGTTCGATTTTTTTTTTTTTATTATTAAAATAACCTTTTCTTTTCCCTACTCTGAAATCATTCCGACCATCAACTCTCAACCAACTCTCTCTCACTCACTCACTACGTGAATTCTCTCATCTCTCTCTTCTCGGTCACTATTTTCCGCCCATACTATTTTATCTTTATTATCTTTTTTGTTCTCTTAAAAACCTTCCATATAAATTCCGACCGATTTCCCCAGTTTCATCATCTCAGCGAAAGTCTAAAACGGAGGTGCGATAAAATACTGATCTGCTTTGGGACCAGTTCGGGTGTCATGCTTGCTTTCGCCTTGTGTCACAACTGAATTACATTAATGCCGTGCCTCGTCTCTCGTCCACATTCCCATCGTTCGACACTCCACTAAATCACGCCGTCTTGCGCAACAAGCACATTCTCCTTCCATACCAACTGCAATCTCCTCCAACCCTTCGCCCCTTTCCACACCCCTTGCCGCTGCGAATCATCCGAGCTCCTAACGTTTGTCTGATTAAAACTGGACCCGTGTCGGCTATCCCTCTCTTTTCTGGAGAGAGCGCATGAGGACGATCTGCGAAGTTCGAGGTTTCTGGAGCATGCACGGAGCATAGTCACATCGCAATATCTTTGGGCGATTTTTGATCTACTGCTGCGTGCGGAGCATCGCGCTGGCAAACAGAAGAAGCTCCGGTCGCCTTGCGTTTCTTCTTCGTCGGGCCTACCTCCTTCCTCTGTTAAGCATTTTTCGCCTGCTACGCTCTTCCTCCCTTCCGTACCCCATCCCTTCGAGACCCCTGTGTAATTCTTGCATTGCTTGACCGTGTCTATTCTGGACAGAAACATATTCCTATTCTTCCGCGGAACCTGTCTACTCCTTTCTGTCCCCATCCCTTCTCTTCCTCGTCTCGCTTCTTCCTGCCTCTCTTGTGAGTTAATCCTCGGTTCTCACACAGTCTCATGAGCGCGGAGCGATCATATGGCTAATTCTCGTGCAGTCCGCTATCTGTTACAGAGCTCCTGCCCTAGTCTATCCTACTCGGCCGGTTATACCTATACCTACTCGATTCGATTCGATCGACCGTGGCATTGACCATACCCCTCGGAGGCTTCACCTAAGCAGAAGCAGCAGCCCAAGCATCTACGGGCGAAAACATATCCATACAGGTCGGTTATACTGGAGAGCAGAAGTCTTATGGTGGATTGCCCACTATGGCCTCCAACAACGCGAACACAGGTCACAATGTAGGTGGAAACTAAATATGTGGCAAGTGGGACAGTGTGGCTAACTACAATCCCAGGGACGGTCGAACAGAGGTTCCAATATGAACTCAGCAAATGTGGTCAGTGACAGGTCACGAACCTCTCACGCAAGCATGGGGAAGGGCTTCGGAAGTAGCAACGGAAGCTGGAGCAACAATAACATCTGGGGACGAACATTCGATGGTAAGCGATGCACGAATCCGCCTAAGAACCCGTGCTGTACTGATTGTATGTGCTCAGACCAACACAACGCAGAGAATGCGTTTGAAGGCAAGGCTGGTTCAAGCTCCTTGTTGTCGACGTCGACATCCGAGTCCGACGGTTGGAACACCAGGCCCAACCTTCCATGGGGTACGATCAATACACCTGGCAGCGCACTGTCGAGGGGTCCGAATAGCGCTATGACGACTTCACCTGTTCAGACCCGGACCAATGATCGCAGCGCCGCCGCTCTATCGGACGCAGCCGAAGCATCTTCATATTTTGCCCTGTCAAAGTCAACAGTTAGCGGCTCTTCCGGTAGCACGGCTCACCAACCTTACTTGAATGGGAGAACTGAAGGCATATCTCCTTCCAGTGACGGTATTTCGCTTGGGAACTTTGGAGGGTTTCGCAATAATGATGGTAGACGGCACGTCAACACAGCTACATTTACCAGTAGCCCTGTGGGCTCGAGCTTCCCAATGAAGCCTGGATTTCCCAACATTGAGAGCAATAGAGCGGAGGAAGTGCCTTCGTCAATGGCCATGCCAGGTGTTCCTCAAGCTCTGCCCGATTTCATGCCCCAGCACGTCAGTCGCAATTCCTATGCACATGTCTCACACAACTCTGCGTCCTTTGCGCCGGCGAGACCGCCACACTCCTCCTACCCATCATTCCACTCCGAGTCTCAGGGATATGAAGGCAGATCGGGATCAGTGGACATCGGTGCTGGATTAGGCAAGCTACAGCTCAACGAGAGTAGCATCGCTGCGCAGACTGCCGGCCGCCCGGGCTTTGTCACTCATCAATCATACGACAATGCTGTCCAGCGACTTAGCTATCAGAGCGCCAGCGATGACATTAACTATCAGCTTGCCACCAATTACGGGAATGAGAATGTGACTGCAGACTTGCCACTTGCTTATCAAACCGTCAGGTCCCGTGTCGCGGAGGGTCATCCTTTGTCACCCGTTGAGTATAATCGGATGGAGAGCCCATTTTACGGACACGATAATGGCGCCCATTACCGAAACTCATCTGCAAGCCAGCTGCCCGAGAATCCGGCTGTGGTGTTGAGCCGAATGCGCGCTGATCATGAGCTTGCTCAGCAATCCGCAAACTCTCTTCAGCGTGCCAACTTCAGTCCCGGTTACGATATCAATGTGAACGGGTATCCAGCAGTTCAGCGAGTGAATGGCATGCCTGGGTTATACCACCCTGCCGCCCACCTTGGTGCAGCCGCTCTCCTCCAAAGGGGACAACGTGAGGACCTCTCTTCGCAGGTTGCCCGGAGCCCTGTCCTGGAGGATTTCAGGGCCAACAGCAAGGGGAACAAACGCTATGACCTGAAGGTGTGTATCCCTTGATCTTGCACGATGACATCCTTGCTGACCAGTTCTAGGATATATACGGTCATATAGTTGAATTCAGCGGTGATCAGCACGGGTCACGTTTCATCCAGCAGAAACTCGAGACTGCCAACAGTGACGAGAAGGAGCAAGTTTTCCGGGAAATCCAGTCGAACAGCTTGCAGCTGATGACGGATGTTTTTGGGAATTACGTGGTGCAAAAGCTTTTCGAGCACGGCAACCAGACTCAGAAGAAAGTCCTCGCCAATCAAATGAAGGGGCATATTCTTTCCCTTTCTACCCAGATGTATGGGTGCCGTGTGGTGCAAAAGGTAAGCTTGAGGTGTCATGGCATTTCTCTGGTTAATTGTTGCTAATACATCCCTCCATAGGCCCTCGAACACATCTTGACTGATCAACAAGCTTCCATGGTCAAAGAGCTTGAGTCGAGTGTTCTCAAGTGTGTACGAGATCAGAATGGTAACCATGTGATTCAAAAGGCCATTGAGCGAGTTCCGTCCGAATATGTGCAGTTCATCATCAATGCCTTCAAGGGTCAGGTGGAGAAACTGTCGGCCCACCCATACGGATGCCGCGTCATTCAGCGCATGCTGGAGCACTGTGAGCAAGCCGATCGCGAATCCATCCTGGCCGAATTGCACCCTTGCACCGCCAAACTCATTTCCGACCAGTTTGGTAACTACGTGATTCAACATGTCATTGAGAATGGCGAAGAGAAGGATCGGTCGCGCATGATCAATGTTGTCATCGGCCAGTTGCTCACTTACTCGAAACACAAGTTTGCCAGTAACGTCGTGGAGAAGAGCATTGAGTTTGGGGAGCAATCTCAACGTCGACAGATCATCGACACTTTGACCAGTGTCAGTGATCGGGGTGATTCCCCCCTTATCGGCTTGATGCGTGACCAATACGGCAACTATGTCATTCGTAAGTTGGCACTCTTCAGCATAGTCAACTGCAGCTGCTAACTCTCCTCAGAGAAAATTCTTGGTCAACTACAAGACTCGCCCGAGGAGAAATATGCCCTTGTGATGCGCATCCAGCCGATGCTTGATCAGCTGAAGAAGTACAGTTACGGCAAGCAGATTGTTGCCATTGAGAAATTGATCGTTGGGATCCACCCTGGTCCCGAGGGGCCCCTCCCTCACACAGCCACCTCGACCACCCCGCCGAACTCTCATAAATCCTCTCCCCAGCCGTCGAAGCGTGCAGTCAACGGAGTTGAAAACGGCCGGGTTCCCGTTGGAGCCGCGCCTCCAACACCCCCTCCGACTGATAGCCAAAGCGGCGCAGATAGCTCTTCCGAGTTCAAGAATATCCCCAAGGCGACGGTGACCTCGCTGGCTGAATCCGAATCAGCCGAGGCGGACTCGAGCGCCTCGGTCGAAGTCTCTGGGGCGACATAGATTGCAACGGCTCTATATCTAACATTGCTTTCTCTGAAATATAGCTTTATTTTTCCGATGTTCTGAGTTCTTCAACGACATTATTGATCGGGGCGTATACATACCGGGGCCTGAAGGAGGGACTGCTCCTCATCTTTCCGCCCACATTTCATGGCTTGACGGCGCAATATCCAGGGACACGGCGGAGACTTGAGGTCATTTGCTTTATTTCACTACTACTACTACTCCTACTATTCTCCCGCCCCTTTTGCTTCTTGAAACTTATTTTTCTACTTCTTTAATTGCTTGTGGATGTACTTTCTTCTGTTACCTTTGAAGTTCTTTGTGACGAAAATGAGGACACGCCTCCATAGCTATCGATATTTCCTGTTTCTCTGTGTCCTAACAACACGAAGGGTCGGCGTCAGTTATTGGTGAATCATGGGTTACGGGGCATCGCGCTTGAATTCCTTCGGAGGGTTAACAAAATGTGTGGGACCTTGGACATAATGGGAGACCTGGAAAAAGGGAGAACATACGGGATGCCTAGAGCATGTAGAGGCTGAGCACTCTAGCTAGTATACAGACCACGAATTGAAGTGTCTGGATTTCGCGAGATGATTTTGAATTGGCGTGTTGGTCGATTGACCGCATTTACATCGTAGTATGTACAGTACGGGTCGGCAGGAACCGAATTGCTGGTGTAGCTCCCTTATCATCACGTGACCGATAACTGCGCGGCCCCATTTCGACCGAGAAACCTGGACGATTAACCTCGAAGCTCCGTCGCCACGGAAGATACGACAATACCTGGCTTGCTTGACCTTTTTCACATCACTGACCAGATAGTCCATCTTGATGACTACCTGACTACATGATTTGCGAACCACCTTCCTCCCAATCTTGAGCACCACACATACCTCCTCATCGAATTGAATCGCAATCGACCGCCTCTCAAGACGAACTTCCACGATCTCACATCCTCTCACCGATCAACGAACAATCAATCAACTCACCATTGTATTCACCTTACCTCACCCATCCCACAAATCATCCAGAAACACCAACATCATCGAAACACACACACACACACAAGCATCAGCGAACACAGACAGGGAAACACAGTTTCCAGAAGGGTTTCCAAGAATGTCCTCCAACGTCGGCCTCTCCACCCCGCGCGGCAGCGGCACCTCGGGCTACGTCCAGCGCAACGCCGCCTTCATCAAGCCCCGCACCACGGGCTTCGGCCAACCTTACCCGCCCGTCTCGGGCGCCAACTCGGCCGCTGGCGCCGGCGGTGGCTTCAAGCAGCGCGTGCCGGATCGGCAGATCCTCGAGCATGACCGGCGCCGTGCCGTTGAGGTCAAGGTTATGGAGTTCCGGGAGGAGTTGGAGGAGGAGAATGAGCGGTTAGAGGAGGAGGGGGTTGCTGCAGCAGCTGCTGCTGCAGCGGAGGAGGGGAAGGGGGGCAAGGGGGCTAGGGACGGGGTGAATAAGCAGAAGGGTGAGGCTGAGGCTGAAGGGGAGGACGAGGAGGAGGGCGAGGCTGCTGAGGGGAAGGGGAAACGGGTGCTCTCGGAGGAGGAGATCGAGGAGCGGTGTCAGCGGTTACGGGAGAGGTTGTTGAGGGAGTTGGAGGAGGAGGAGCGGCGGGCTGCGGCGCGGAAGGAGAGGGATGCGGGCAGGGCTGCGGCTGGTGCGGGCAGGCGGTGGGGCAGGGAGAGGGAGAGGGATATGCCTCCCCCGTCCAAGAAGCAGTTCAAGTCGTATCAGGTGCATGAGTTGGCGGAGGCTAAGATTGAGGAGAGTGAGCGGTTGAGGAGGGCGTTGGGGATCCGCGAGGATAGGGAGACTGGGGAGATTTCGGGGGGGAGAAGGAGGGATTGATTGTTGGACTGGTTGGGTGGTTTTGCTTGGGGTGGTGGATTTTTTGATGATTTGGCTTGTATCTGGGGTCTAGGGAAGGGAGGATTGATGGGTGTTTCGGCGTTAGATTATGGATTCGCTGTTTTTTTTTTTTTTTTTTTTTTTGCGGCGCCTCTAAGCAGGGTGATACTGCAATACTGAACCTTCGATGTTCAGACACAGCTGTACATTAACTATATGCTCATAACTTTTGCTTGCCGGCTTCGTCGCTATATATACCTCAAGTAACAAACTTCTCAATCACCCACCCCTCCTTGGGATCCTTCTTCTGGATGACCTTCTTCGCCGGCAAAGGCCACCTTGGACCACCGGCCTCGCCTACCAGCGACGGGATCACCCAGCATGAGCGGCGCTCGGGGATCCCCTCGATCGTCTCCGCCTTGCCGATCGGCTTCCCGTACTCGATCAGCGGCGTGTTGTGGGCGATGGCGGAGAGCTGCAGTCCGCTGGGAGTCGCCAGGGGATACATCCGGATCTTGGGGGTCTGCTCGGCCGCCACCACCGACGGAGAAGATTGTTGGAGGTGGGAGTAGACAATGTACTGCGGCATCTCCTTGGCGGACATCTGCGCGAGGATGGACGAGGGATGCACATAGACGCACTTCTCGTTCAGCTCCAAGCCCGGGCCCTCGCGCGACCGCATGAGCGTGAAGTACGGGACGTCGATGGCTCGCTTGGGCGTCCGGGCCATCTCCGGAGGTACAGGCGCGAGATCGGCGCGGAGTGCCACGTTGTCGATGAAACCCGCCGTGATGATCTGCTTGAGAGCCTTAACCTGCTTCTCCGAGGGCTCCGGCAGACGCGCCTGATAGGCACCGACGAGACCGGGGTTGTTGGTGCGCACAATATCTGTGAGTTGACGGCGGAGCTGGGTGGCTTCCTTGAAGGCCTTGGCGCGCAGGAACATCTTCTCACAGAACGAATCCCCGTCGGAGGCGTATCCGTAGGCGCAGATCGCGGACAGGTATTTCATCGCGTCAGATGTATCGTCATGCTTGCTGAACAGACGATGAGCCCGCGCGTAGTCTTTGTGGCGTTGCTCCCGCGCCGTGTCCTCGAGCCGGTCCGCGTTGGTGTACACACCTTCGTCCTCGTTGGATTTCGATGACACGGGATCGATCTGACTCTGAGGGACAAAGAGGTCGCCCACTGCCAGAGCAGCGACGAGGGCGATCACATACGGCATGCAGCCGTGCTGGTGGCCAACGTACAGCATCTTGCCGAATCGAGGAGACAGAGGGTAGGTAGAGAGCCGGTTACCGATCTGGGTGATCTTGCCCTCCGATGTCAGGGCCCCCAGATTCTTCAGCAGCTTTTCGGCCTTGGCCAAGCCTTGCCGGCTAGGGGGCGTGGGGAAGGGGAAGTTGATAACGTTATGCAGACCCATGCTCTTCATCTGCAGCACGACACCTTCAATCGGCGTGCGCAGGATTTCGGGGTCGGTGTACTCGGCAAACTCGTTCTCGTAGATCGCGGACGAATAGAGGCGGTAGCAGTGGCCAGGTCCAGTTCTACCAGCACGACCTGCTCGCTGGTTTGCACTAGCCTTGCTGATCCATTCAATCTGGAACTTCTGCACTCCGGTAGACAGATCATATTGCTTCTCCTTAGCTCTGCCGCAGTCAAACACATACTTGATGCCAGGGATCGTCAAACTGGTCTCCGCCACGTTGGTGGCCAGAACAATGAGACGCGAGCCCTCTGGTGGCTCTTCGAAGATCTTGAGCTGCTCCTTGGTCGGAAGTTGAGAGTACAGGGGCAACACGTGGACCCGAGTCGTGGAGCTCATGGCCTCTTCGCCCAGATCAAATTCTTCGTCTTCTTCGTCCGGCTCATCCAAACCAGTGATCTCATAGTCACTTTCGTCATCTACTTCGCCGCCAGGAACGGACAAATCGGCACCGCCGATTTCCAGATCTTCCGTCTCCAATGGCGCATCGTTGGCCGATATCTGGACCTTCACCTGGGTGGTGTCTGCTCGCTGAGTAGGCTTGAAGACCTGCTTCAACCGCTTGGAAAGTTGACGGATCTCGTTCTGTCCTGTCAGGAATACAAGAATTCCGCCTGGAGGCAATTTGCGATGGCCGCGCGACACTTTGCGGAAAGACTCTTCGACATAATCGCGGTGGGTGCGTCTGGAGAAATGAATGGTGACGGGGTACTGACGACCCTCAGCCTGCACCAATGGTGGCGGTCCTTGGCGGAATAGACTGGGGTTTTGCGTGAAATCGGAAATGCGCAGAGTAGCAGACATGATCACCAGTTTCAAAGGCTTGACAGACGGGTCTTCCTCGCTCATCGATTTCCGAAGATCGACGATTCGGCTCACCATGCCAATGAGGATATCTGTGTTGACACTACGCTCATGGGCTTCATCGATCACGATGACAGAGTATTTCTTCAATGAGAAGTCTTCAGCGATCTCTCGGATGAGGATACCGTCCGTCATGAATTTGACGGCGGTTTTGCTGGTTGCTGTGCTGTCGAATCGAATCTGATAAGACACACGGTCGGAAAATTGACCCAGCTCATCGCCTACACGTTTCGCCATACTGACAGCAGCAACTCGTCGCGGCTGGGTAACAGCGATAATTCCAGGATTAGGTCCGTCAGGATGGCCATAGCCTGCTTCGAACAGGAATTGGGGTAGCTGGGTGGTTTTTCCGCTACCAGTAGCACCCCAAATCACGATCGAAGGGTTGTTGTAGATGGCTTCCATAATCTTCTGCTCCTCCCCGACAACAGGCAGGCCTAGACGTGCCTGCTGAATTTCCTCGGAACGATTGACTTGGACGCTGAAGGCCTTCCGGTTGGGATCTCCAGTAGTGACCTGCAGCTCTCGAGGCAGCGGCTCTTCCACATAGACTGTGTTCCTTACTGGTCTCTTTGATTCAGGGATAAACGGCATCGGTTCGGCGACAACTGGGACGGTCGCAGGCGTGAATCCCACGGCTTCATTGATTTGCTGCCGAGCCCAATCCTTGAACGCGGACAGCCGCGACTTAGTTTTGTCTGTATGCTCTTCGTCTTCATCGTCATCTTCCTCCTCCTCATCCTCCTCTTCATCATCATCGTTGCTTTCTCCGTCCTCGTCCTCGTCTTCGTCACTCCCGCTGCCGCTGCCATCTTCACTTGTATCATCCTCTGAAGTTGCAGCTGAGTCTTCTCCGGAGTGTTCTTGATCGGCCTCATCCTCCTCAACCTCATCCTCCTCCTCGCCCTCGTCATCTGATCCAAATCCGTCCCAAGGAACCTCGGGCATAGATATCGTGATTATCGGTTTCTTCTTGGGCGCGCGTTTCCGCTTCTTGAGGATCGGGAACCCATCAGGTCCGAGTTCGAGTGGGCGTTTCAAGCCGCTGCCCACTGCCTGGGACTCTGCAGATGTACTCGCGATGGCAATGGATTTGGCCGGAGGTAGCGAATCGTCCGTCTCGTCACCGGACGAATAGTCGACGTGAGAGGCATTACGGTCCGTAGTCGTGGGCCGGGGCGGTCTCTCATCAGGCCTCTTGCGCTTTCCGAGTTCCTTCGTGCTCTGGAGAGCAGAGGTGTCGACCTTGCTTTGCGCGAGCTTCTTCAACAGTTCAATGTTCTCCTCTTTCTTCAATTTTGTTTCCTGCGAGTGAGATTAGAGAATAGGGTCTCCTAAGCAGCACACAACAAAAGACGTACAATATACTTATCCAGGCGCTTCTGTTTCTTGGAGGATATGGTAGGGTTCTGCGACTTCAATTCCTCCTTCAGCTTCTGTCGCTTGGCTTCCTTCTCACTTTTGGAGACGGGCAAAATTTCGGCAGCATTGGTATCTATCCCGGCGGTTGACTCCGCCTGCTGCCGGTGTTTCTGCTTCCGCTGACGGGGAACAAACTTGGGCATGGTGTCTGGAGGTAGAAGCGATCGCTCCTACTCAATCTACCAGGATCAAATGGCCACAAGATAAGAGAAATTTGAGTTGTGATGATGATGCTCAATCCATGAGGAGAGAAAAAATTACGCGGCGGAGCCATTCTGCCCCGCAGGCGGTGAGGCAAATATACTCACCGCCTTTCGTGATGATCGGCGGCGGGGAATGAATAACTACAGGTCAATCCTCTTGCGGCTCCAACAGCTTTCATCAGATTGTACTTCATTTTTGTCTCATTGTGGCATAATACTCTAGACGTTTTACGTGACCTCATAGGTATAGTCTACGAACACATCGTCAATTTTCCATCATGGCCGAAGCAGTCAATCTTGATCCTCTTCTGGAACCAATCAACCTACCCTTCCCCGCAGTCACAAAACAAGCCGCCGGAGTCATCAATAACATCCCCACCGATGTGATGCTTGTCAAATTCAGTGACCGGATCTTGGTGACTATTTCGCAAAAGGGTCGACTCGGCCACTGGGTCTGTGATTCGTCTAAGCATTGCACCGACCTTCTCCACTGACCTATCACAGCTTCACGTCCCCTTGGAGAACAAGAATCCCGGTACAGAGGGTTTCCACATCATCCCCGATTCTTCGGATGACAGTCTTCTTCCGATTAGCAACTTGACCGCTACGTCACTGCTGGGAGGTCGAGCCCCCGGTCATGAGGTTGTTGGTCAGCTGTATGCTCGGCAGATCGCGAGTGCTATTGTCACCAAGACGCCGGATGAGAAGCGGCTGCTGGTTCTTGGGCTTGGTCTCGAGACGGCCGACGCTGATCGGGATATCTTCTTCGCTATCATTGATCTGGTGCTTCAGTGCGTCTGAGGAGTGGGCATAGAAGGTCGAAGGCGGCAACTGCTATGCTGACTTGAAGCCGTGGCTGTTCGGCATAGTTCATACCCGTATCCGATATTCGGGTTGAACGAGTGGAGATTTCTCTTCTTTCCTCAGGATTGACTTTTTTGGTTTCCTCAGAAGCCAATATCCTCCAGCTAGATCTGGAGGAAGTGAAGACAGATCAGATGGAGTGTCAGGAGCATCGAGTCGGTATGCGTACGACAACCAAACTCGCAACCTGGCTGTAAAGGATCAAGGGAGTGCTGAACTAATGCGAAGGAGACAGTCTGCGCCCTGTGGGAACGGCTGTTCAACGAAACAATGTTCCTAGGAGGGATGAACTCCAAAGATGATTTTGAGATGGTATGGGAGATCGTTTTGTCAACGGTTACAAAAGCAATATGATCTATCATTAGGTCTAGTGATTCTAAGGTCTAGAGGCGCAGCCTTAGATGAAGGTTTTTTGTTAAGAGCATCACAAAGCTCGCTGTGGCTTGCATGTTGTGTTGCGGCGACTCGCACTGAATGAACTAACATCATCATAACACTTTAAGTAGCGAATAGTGCCCAGAACTAAGAAGTCTCTTTGTAGTCATTAGCATAAACGTGAAAGTGAGGGTGAGGTGAATGGGATTGTCTGCGGCCCTCCGTCAGCCTAGTCACGTGCTAGCGGAGAGAGGCTCCCAGCATTTGGTCAAACGCTCATCAACTTTTCACATAACTACCTGCCACTTTCAACTATCTGCCTTTAAACATACTCTGATTAGATAGTCTCATCTTATCAAGCCTTCTAGCTGCCACAGAGCGGATATCAGCCCCAGCTCTGGTGGGATTCACACTCCGAGAACACCAAGCTTGGGTAAACAACAGCAACTACAACTCTCGTTTCGGTAATGCAGCCGCCGCAGAAGTAAACGCTAATCTACTATCCCCAGCCCCTTCCAAACTGTCTTGTGTCTAACCCCACGACTGCCAAGATGCACTCAGAAGATGGTGATGATCCAGAGCTTCGAGCAGCAATTGCTGCGTCTCTGGTGGACATTAGAGATTCTGCGGTTGAACCGCCATCCCGGCGCCGTCAACAGGCTGTCGTCGACTTGACCGGTGAAACTGAGTCCGAATCTGACAACGACGTGGTGCCTCTCTTTCCCAAATCAAGATCTGTCATTGGGTCTGAGACCGACGATGAGGAAGATGAGGACATGAAGCGCGCCATCGCGCTCTCCTTAAAGGAGTCCAGAGAAGTTCAGGATCCCTCCTCTGCGTCCCCGCCGACGGTCCGAGAAACCAGCACAGATCTGACCCTGAACCCCCCTTCGCTGATCAATTTGGACGATGACGATGACGATGACGATGATACGAAGAGAGCTATTGCGGCATCCATGCTGAGTGTATCAAGCCAGCCTCCAGGAGCTCTGCAAGCAGCTACAGCGCAGGCCAGCGCTAGCCGGACTTCTGCTTCTACCTCGACAACGACTATCAGGGATGATGCCACTCAAGCTGAACCGGTTAAGCCGATCGGTATCTTTGGGCTCGATCGGAAACAGATGGAGCAAGAGCGTCTTGCGCGACTTGCGAAACGAAAAGCCGCCGACGACACATCACTCAACGAGCGTGAATCCAAATCCTCGAAGATTGAACCGACTCCCACCCCTCGCATTAGCAAGCCCGTTCAGGACAGCGAAATAGCGAGTGTTACTAGCGCCAGCCCCAGTGCGTTGACATCCTCACCTCTGCAATATCCAGAAGGAGTGGTCAAGAAGACATGGGCGTCTGGCTTTCCGCGACAGGGCGACGATATCAAGATCGAAGAGGTGTTGCAAAAGGCCGATCTAGAATTAGCAGTATTGAGCTCGTTCATGTGGGATCTGGATTGGCTATTCTCCAAGACTGACACAAGAAGCACCCGCTTTCTCCTGATGATGCAAGCCAAGGACGATGCGACGGTGAGTAACCATCAGTCAAACTTTTGACGATCTCGCGTAGTGTCACCTGTGAACTGACCTCTCCCAAGAAACGCCAGTATGAATCAGAGGCAGCAGCCTTGCGCAATGTGCGACTTTGCTTTCCTCCGATGGATGGTCAGGTGAACTGCATGCATTCGAAGTTGATGCTGCTTTTCCATCCTACATATGTTCGGATCGCAGTGCCCACCGCCAACCTGACCAACTATGACTGGGGCGAGATGAACGGGGTCATGGAAAATGTGTGATACATGACATGTCGTTCTTTGACACGGCTAATCAGATTTGCAGAGCGTCTTCCTGATCGACCTGCCGAAAATCGACGTGAAGAAGCAGGAGTGTCCTGCGACGGCATTCCATGAAGATCTGGTATACTTTCTCAAAGCCTGCACTTTACATGAAAACATCATCGCGAAGCTGAAGAGCTTTGACTTTGCGAAGACTGCCAAATATGCATTTGTCCATACAATGTAAGGAGCTTAATCCCGCATGCCAAAACAACACTTCAAGAACTGACTGGATACAACAAGCGGGGGTGCACATACAGGAACTGCATGGGAGCGCACGGGCTACTGTGGTCTTGGGCGTGCAGTAGAACGCATGGGTTTACGCACGTCTCACCCATTGAACATCGACTTTGTCGTAAGTACAGTCCTATACCATTCTACCTATCATTGCTTCCAAGCATCATTAACCAAAGCAACCGCAACAGACATCCTCCCTTGGATCTCTCACGGACGACTTCCTCAGATCCATATACCTCGCCTCCCAGGGTTCGCCCACTTTCCATCCCTCCTCAGCCTAAGACCCCCCATGAGAACTAACCAAAACATCTCAATCAACAGGAGACACCGGAATAACCGACCTAACCCTCCGCACGTCCAAAACCTCCCCGGCAAAACACCTCACCGACCCCACCACCCTCATCCCCCACAGCACAACCTCAGAATGGAAAGACGACCGGTTCCGCGTCTACTTCCCCTCGCAAGCCACCGTCGCCGCCTCCAAGGGCGGGCCCAATTGCGCGGGCACGGTCTGCTTCCAGTCAAGATGGTACGAAGGCGCCAAGTTCCCGCGTCACGTTCTCCGCGACTGCGAGAGCCAACGCCGCGGAATGTTGATGCATAATAAGGTATATCCCGCACAACCTCCCCTATGCCCCACATCCCCAAGAAAAAAGACGTAGTTTGAGTTAACTGGGTCCAATGTGAATAGATTCTTTACGTCCGCCCCGATGAGCCCATCCCGCTCGCACCGCAGGACAAGAATAAATCATGTAGAGCGTGGGCGTATGTCGGAAGTGCAAATCTGTCGGAAAGTGCATGGTACGTTACATGCCGAAAAACCTGGGCCTCCTGTCTCCATCGCCCTTGTCCTATCCCCCATGCCCCCCCTCTATCAAGAACAGAACAAGATTACGGTCGCTGATCTAGAATTTGCATCATATCCAGGGGCCGCCTCGTGCTAGACCGCACCACCAAACAGCCTAAGCTCAACTGTCGCAATTGGGAGTGTGGGGTCGTGGTCCCCGTTTTTGAGAATCGTAATGAGTCAGGTGCTGTTGACAGCACCAGCACCAGCACCGCCAGCAGTGCTTCCTCCTCGCAGACACAAACACAGAACGACGACGGGACAGGCGGCGGCTTGGTTGGCTTGTTTGCGGGGACAGTGCCCGTGCCGATGCGTGTGCCGGGGCAATACTACGAAGGCGGCAGAAAGCCGTGGTTCTTTTCGGAAGGTTGATATGCATAGCTTAAGGTATGCAGCCGGTGGTAGGCAGTGGTGCTTCGATTGGAGAATTTGAGCTATGGCCCCTCTCCAGAGAAAGAAAGATTCGCTTCAGCACTTGTCTAGCTTATGATATTACGAAACTTCCGGGGTTTTCAGCAAGACATGACGAATGAGCATAAAATATAATTTCCTTCCCCGCGGGAGTTTTATCTCTAAACCGCTGCAGCAATCATAAAAACAAATGAGTTCCCTCGACCACAAACACACGCGCTGATGCATGACAAAAATTGCCGTCTAGATACTTTCTTTTTATCCACATTATGTACTTTTGTTATAATGGTATGTAAAATAAATAAATGCTGATACCCAAAGCATTAAAGATACCGGGTATAGAACTGGGCCTGCAGAGAGCCAAAGGAACTCCTTCCAGGCCACCACCGACCGTAATCACATGGCACGTGATATCATAGGTCATCACCACAAAAAGAAAAAAGCCTTACAACTAAGAAGCGCTGCTGGAACATTCCAAAAATGGGGTTCTTCACTGCTTCTCCCCCTTGTTCTTCCTAGTGAACAACCCCTTGATGCCACCGATCACCTTGCCGAGCGCGGAGAAGACAAAGCCCAAGCCGAACGACCACCCGCGGACGCGCACGCAGTAGATCATGAAGTAGACGAGGGCCCAGTTGATGATCACGTAGGCCAAGAAGATGCCGAAGCAGCGCCACTTGTCGCCGTCGTGGACGTTCAACGTGTGCATGTACTGGGTGCCGTTGGCGTAGGGGCAGTATTGGCAGTCCGCGGTGGCGCTCGGGTTGGCGAGGTAGCCGTTGCCGACGCTGGAGACCCAGTCGCCCGCGTAGCTGGCGCAGGTCTGGCCGGACGGGGGGTTGAAGTGGGTGGTCTCCGTTGAGGAGCACTCGATGGTGACGGTGGGGAAGACGGCCGAGATCACGCCGCGCAGCCACCAGGTCACCGGGTTGACGTAGTACATCCAGTACTTCCAGAACACCGGGTAGTTGGAGTAAGGGCGGACGACACCGTTGAACAGACTGGTCATGACGAAGAAGAAGGGGAGGACCTGGTTAGGATGTTAGACTGGGACTTGGCGATAAGATGCGGGCTTTTGAGGGGGGGGAGGCTTACGTTGGAAATGACGGTGAAGGAGGGGGCAAAGGCACAGATCCATTGACCCCAGCTGGCTTGGAAGAGGAAGAAGAGCATCGACATGAGGAAGACGTAGCCCGCGTTGCTGGAATCAGTGGGGAACCCGGCCGGGTAGTACCACAGGAGCCAATAGATCAGAGCGGACACGATCGCCATCGGAATCTCGCAGATGATGTTGGCGGTACAGAAAGCGAACCAACCATAGATACGGCTCGGGTATTCGCGCGCTTCCCAAAGGGCGCGGTTCATGTAGAACTTTGGGACCAGACTGTTCAGAACAATGGGCGGGAGAAGAATGATCAGGAAAGTCGAGAACATGCGGTCTTGCATGCTAGAGATGGAGTTGCCCAGCATCCAGAAGGTCTGCGACTGTTAGTGCGGGATTCAGGTTGGATTAATCGGAAGTACTTACGAAACCGTTGAAGATACCGATAATGACGCTGACAAACAACTTTCCGTAGTAGTAGGAAGGATCTCTCCAGTATTGCCGGAAAATTCTCATCATGAGATGGTAAGTCTGCGTCATGGCTGGAGCTGCAAATTCGTACGTCGCACCCGACTCGGGAAGGGGAATCTTGCTGCGCTCTTCCCGGATATTTTTGATCTCGGCCAGTATCTTCTGGTTCTGCTCGGACTTCTGCCATTCTTCATTCCAGTCATAAGTTTTGCCATCCTTCTTGGTGGCCTTTGCAGCCGTTTCGAGAATGAACTCAGCAACGTTCTTAGACGGAGGGCAAACGACTCCACGATCGGCAAAGTAGTTCTTCACGTCGCGGCCCTCATGACCGACGGGACCGAAGTAGAAAGTGTTACCGCCAGGGTTCAAGGCCAAGATCATGTCGAATTGCTGGATCAGCATGGACGAAGGCTGATGGATGGTACACACGATAGCCTGTCCTGCCTGCGAGAGCTTCTTCAAGAATCGCACAATGGAGAACGCCGCTTGACTGTCCAGACCACTAGTGGGTTCATCAAGGAAAAGAAGCAGACTGGGCTTCGCAGCCAACTCCACACCAATGGTCACCCGCTTCTTCTGCTCGACATTGAGAGAACCGATAATAGCATCCTGGATCTCCTCCAGCTCAAGAAGGTCGATGATCTGGTTGACGTAATCGATTTTCTCCTGACGAGGAGTATCCCTATCCTGACGGAGTAGAGCCGAGAATTCGAGGGCCTCGCGGATAGTGGCGGTGTTGTCGTGAAGATCCATTTGCTCGCAGAAACCAGTACCACGTTGGAAGTCCGTGCCCAGAGGATGGCCATCAACAAGCATATCACCCGTTACAACACCCATCTTTTGGCGTTGGGCCAAAGTGTTGAGGAGCGTCGTCTTACCCGCTCCAGAAGCACCCATCAGGGCGATCATGAGTCCAGGCTTAGCGTAACCATTGACACCGTTCAGAAGCTTCCGGGTTCCATTACCATAAGGCACGGTATACTCGACATTGGACCACGTGAACACTCTGTCGCTAGACGAGATACGGTTGAAGGTTTCACTGTTTGCACCGGACTGAGACTGTCCCTGGCCCGCGGTTTGCATCTTCTCTTCGTCGCTGCCTTTGCTAGCCTGCGCCTTGAGCTGTTTAGCACGGCGGGAGCGCTTGAATACCAACGCACCACCTCCGCCACCAACGAACGAGAGAACTTCGGCTGCAAACACAGTGACCAGGATATAGAGGACGGTAAAAGCAATGACGACACCAAAGTTACGCCATAGATGGTGGCGAGTGAACTGGTAAGTCGTTTGGATGTAACTGCTTCCCGCAACGGTCGTCGAACCCAGTTCAGAACCAGTCAGAGCGCATCCTTGGTATCTAGAGTCGATGCCCGGACCTTGGGGTACCAGCATCGAAGGAGCACAGTCCATTACACGATTGGCGAATTCGTTGGAAAGCACGGCTTCGTAACTGTAAGAGAGCGGATTGACGTAGAAAAGCCATCCGAACCAGATCGACCCATCAATGAGGGACTGTTTGGGGATGACATAGCCAACGAACAGGATCAACACGTTCAAAGCGATACCACTGAACCGAACCGCGTCATCAATTGACGGGGACAGCGCCGCGAACATGCGATACATTGAGGTGATGCAAAACGTGGTGGTGTACACGAACAAGAAGTAGATCCAGAACTTAGACGCGTCCACATCAAATCCAGCCATGAAATAGACGATGATGGTGAAAGGAACGACCATACAGAAGATTGCCGGGAAATCCACCACAACACGAGCGATCGACACAGCAGAAGGACGGTAGAATGCATAGTCTTTATGACGTGCGACGATAGCACGTCCACTGACCGCAGGCATCAATTCCGTCAATTGCAACCAGCCAAGGAACAGAATAGAGAAGAACAGAGCACCACCGCGCGAGAAAGCGCCGCTGGTATCCAGAGATTCTCCATAGAACAGAGAGGAGACGATAAGAGCGTTGGACAAAATGATGAAGTACTTGGTGTAGAGTGATGTTTTGTCACCCCACAGCAGCCAGAACTCACGCTGCACACATGCAGCAACCTGTCGAACCAGAGAGACAGTGTAAGGGGACTTCTTGGAAACGGTTTTACTCTTGGATTGAGCGACGGACTTCTGGAAGCGACGGGTGTTCTCGCAGTTGGTGTCCTGGAGCTGCTTCTCATAGCCGGCGACATCATCTAAGATACGCCTGTAAGCACTGCTCTGGCGGAAGACCGCCTCGAGCTCCTCTGCAGTCTTGGGAGTAGATGCTTCACGGCCTGGCTGGAATTGACGGGCATTGACATCGCACAGGGAAGTGAGGAAATCGGCCGTGGTCGATCCGTCCGGACAAGCAAAGCCGAGGTTCTCAAAGTACTCCCTCGCCTCGCTAGCGGGTCCTTGGTAGAGCATGCGTCCTGAATCGATCACCATTACCTTATCCATGAGTTCATAAATGCTCTCTCCGGCTTGGTATAGGGTGACGAATGTGGTGCGCTTGCTGACGTCGGTCATGATCCGGAGTGACTTTGCGTAGTCCAAAGCAGTACTGGCATCCAAGCCACGGGTTGAGTTGTCCCAGCAAACGACGGAGGATTTCGTTGCCAATGTCTCGGCGATACTGACACGTTTCCGCTCACCACCAGAGACACCGCGAACGTATTCGTTTCCGACAACCGTGTTTTTCGTGTGAGAGATACCAAACATCTTCAGCAAGGCGTCAATGATGACAGGGATGCTGTCCCGATCATGCTTCTTTGTCTTGTTGATCAGCGAGAATTTCAGAGTCTGCCAAACAGTCAAGTTCGGGAAGTGTTGATCATCCTCCTGGTTGTAGTTGACCTCACCGCGGAAGTGTTTGTGCTGTTCCTCGGCGGACATACCACCGTAACTGATTTCACCTTCAACGCCGGCAAAAGCGCCTCGGTCGTTGGCAATCGTCTTCAGGAAGGTGGAACAGCCGGCACCTGGTCTACCCAGGACGAACATCATTTCACCTTCGCGAACCGCGCCCGTGAAATCATGAAGCAAGTCCCTCACCGGAGGCTTGCGACCGAACTGGAGCTGCGGGATGAACCTGCAGACGATCTTGTACAAATCGGGGCCAAAGGTCCCAATGACAGCATCGGGGAGAGTGCGAACAAAGGAGGCACCAGTCTCGATCCCCTTGACGGTGACATTCTTGAACACGACCCCGACTTTCTTCGCCGGCTCGCCGGCTGTTGTGCGTCGTTCGAGATGGCCACCCATCAGGAATTCGCCCAGGTCGAATGCGCCATAGTCGCCTTCAGTAGAGCCGGAGAGTTCGTCGCCTTCCAGGGCTTTCTCTTCATCGGCGCGAGAAGCCTTCGAGCGGCGTCGCTGCGCGTCGCCTTTGACGGAACGAGTACGATGCAGACTAAGCCTGGTCAGCTCCCGTCTCATCTCCTCCAAATCCTCCATCGCCCCGCGACGAGAGACGGGTTCAGTGCCCCGCTCTCCCCAGTGGCCCTCTTGGGATGTCTCGCTATCGCTAGTCGACAGGGACGGATCGGAGGCGACGGCATGGGGCACGTGGTGGCTTGCTTCGTGGCTGTCGGGCCGGGTTTCATTCGTCGTTGTCGGGATTTCTTGCAAGTCGCCCGGCATCCGACTTCCCTCGGCCGTGGTGTTAGACATGATTGACTTGTTTTTCCTCGCAGGCAGATCGAGGTGCGCTTTCGGAGCCTGTCTATAGTTCGGGTGTGGAAGCAATCAATGTGCTTGGAAGTCAAAGTCAATCGGGCCGCAACCGTATTCAAATTCCACAGACGTCAATTGGAATGGGGCAATTGCGCGTCGAACAGATAGGGATTAGGAAAATGTAGATAGGAAAATAAGAATACCGAATCGTTTAATTCGGGATATATGCAAATTGGTATGTACAGCCGGAACTACCGCCGGAATGCGTCGAGGAAAAGAAAGGAAGAAGGTGATGTAATTAGAAAGATTATATAAGAGGCCGGGACTTGAATGAGAGCTCTGGGAGCTCTCACCAACATGCACCTGCGTAGAGGAGGGGAGAGGGTCTATAGAATGAGAAACGCAATGGGGATCACCCACGCCAGGAAGACCAGGGAAGCTTGATAAATAGGGGAGAGCCAGGAGGGGCTGCTGATGGAGGTCGTTGCATCATGGTTAAAAGCCGCGAGTCTGCGCTGATTAACTCCGTGTGGGCCACCTTTCACAGGGAAAAAAAATTCTGGTGGATTTGTCAGAATCTTCTAGCCGTGGAGAAGAACAGGGTCTGCTTCAGCGAGGCTGCAATCAGAGGATGAAACGAGGTGGGCTGGGTGGAGGAAGACGCCAACCGAACTGTGGATCGAAGGGTGGCTGCTGGCGGCGGCGGCGATGGATGGCAGCGCGGGTAACGCAGCAGCAAAGGAAAAAAAAAAAAAAGAAAAAGGAAGGTAAATTCCAGAGTCGAAATGAGTCAGGATGAGCGCGGTGGATGCCATCAGGAGGGAAAGAGATTGGTTGAAGGACGAGATATCTGATTCAAGATCGGCTGGACCCGAAGAAGCATGAAAAAGTTCGACCGGAGATAAGCTGCAAAAAGTCCTCGGGCTTTAGTCATCCGTGCTTCTGATTGGTCTGGTCGGGTCATCCGTGCCTGGTCGCTGGGGCACTTGGAATTTCACTAGTCAGCGCATTTCACCGGAATTCATATTCCTCTCAAGGATTATTAATGGGCTCCAGCACGCTGCTTACGAGTTACGACAGACAACCCAGATCGGGGTCTGATTTCGGTTAGCCAATTTCCATTCTTCCATCCATTCATTCATTCCATTCATAGTGCCCGCGATAAGGGTGATTGCCCGTCTTGGTGGCTGCAAACAGCCACCTGGCAGTCTTCTGCCTATCAACTGGACTACCTTCTACAGTTGTCACAATATTCTCCTTGCTATCTCTCTGTTCCCGCCTTCCATCAGTTTCAGTATCACTCAGTCACTCTTGACATTGCGATTGGGAGCGGAGGACAACCCATTCCTCGGAGCCGAATACTTGTAGTACTGGGTAGGAATAGATAGGTCTTCTGCAGGCTGCCAGTTGCCCGGATGTCAGCCAGGAATCTGCCGAGCCGCTAAGTCGACATGGTGAGCAAAATGTCCCAGCGCACGGATCAGGGCCAAGAACTTCGAGACCACTATGAGCACGCTTATCACGTTCTTCACTCACCTTTCGATGGACTTCCATATCACCATCTCCCTGTCCAATTCCGACGACCCCCCAACGAATGAGGCAATGATGACTCTCTTTCCTCTTTCTCTCCCCTCTGCCCCGGTCTAGTGCTTGCCGGGCATTCCGGTTGATCTTCCCTGGGCTCCACACAGACCTGCTCGTTAGAGGTCAGGATTGGTCGGGCAATGCCTGTGGTTGCGTTAGTAATGCAGCTTGGTCGGCATGCGGATCACTGGCCGGTTCCCGAGTCAGTCAGCATCATAACCCCGATAATCTCCAGAACCGATTCCCCGTTTTGGATCTGTATGCCGATGATCAGTCATATTCACAGAGAGCCAGCACACTCTGCCCTCGTTTGTGTGCACGCCCACACCGCTCAAACATAGGCAAGAGTGAATAGAGCCCGCGGCAACAACGGTCTGCAATGGATGGATGGAAGACGACCAGCTGACAACTAACTTACATGACGAACAGCACCATTGAATGCACAACCTTCGCAACCTGCATGCATCTTGCTTGACCGCACTGTTTTGGTAGGTATAGGGCATATGAACGGCGGATGAAACAATTCCTCTGACCGACAGAAGTACATGCCGACTACCCATGTATACCGTATCACTCTCCAATCCCACCTTCGGCTGCAACACGCCGCGGCCGCGAGAAGCACCAGTTATATTCTATGACCAGATAAGCACGACGATCCAACAGCTGGCCATCCAGCCATACCAGGCAGCTGTGCAAGCATCCGGCCTGAACTCACCAAAATGTAGAGGAGGCGTGTCTACACCCTCCGGACAGCATGGCTCGTCAGACTCTATCCTTTTTGAAATCGGCGAGTTGTCATCTTGTCGTAATTTGTAGCCATCAGCACAGCTTCATGAGACTCCTCTTGCCAGAATGTCTGCTTCTGTCACTCTTTATTGCCAGGTATAACAGCATCACGGTTAGTGCTTGCCAAGGTGAGCCAACAGCTGATACGATAACCCACGTGTGAATGTGGAACCGGTGGATTCGGCACTTTGTGCGGTATAAGATGGTCGTTATAGTCCGGTCTTTCCGACAACTATACGTACACCGTAGACCGTCAGTATTTATGGCATTCTAGTTTCAGAATTCAGGGTTCACTTTTGCGAAATTAGTCGACAATTGTTTCTGTCCTAAGATTCAAGAGGACTCGAGTTCATGTCGAGCGTATGACGGTAGAAAGATGTGGCCTAAGTGTACTGGACGGGGATAGCTAAGCATTGTTTGAGTAACTCCTTAGGCCGATCCAACCGAGGAATTCCAACCGTGACGGGATCAGCCTCATCCACCCAAATCACCCACCCGTGTACCATCAACCAACCGGTAAGGGATTTTCGTCGGTCGCAAGACTTAGACGCGGTCAGGAACAGCAGCTGACATGCTCTGGTTCCTGTAAGCACTCGACTTAAGCGTCGACTGATTCCGCCCATCTTGGCAGCCGACGCCTGCTGTTCGTTATCGCGTCGCCTCATCTGACTTGCTTCCCTCCCCTCACCTGATAAAGCTTCGTCCGTCGGTCGCCAACGCTGTCGTCATTGATCACTCTCACTCCTTGTCTATAATCATGACTTCCACAATTAGTTCTACCCCAGATTCCCATGTACCAGATCTGAACCCCAGTTTCCCGGGGTCTCTCGATCTACCTTTGCCCATGGAGATCCGATACAGGCAACCTCGCGATGGGAATCCAGGTTGATGGTAACAGCGCAAAAGCAGTATCCTCTATGATGAAGTCTCCCACAGTGGCCATGGTGACTATCGATCGTTCTCCAGCTTCACTGCAACAGCCCGTTGGAGCAGCACCGCCGTCCTCTCGCCCCCCGGCCCCTCAGCCCCCTGAAAAGACGAAGACACCTTCCGACTCAGCGCTACCCGATCCCAACCTCGTCAATCCTCGTCTTCTCATCAACGGAGCGTGCATCTACGAGCGTCATCTCCCTGGGGACGCATACATCACCGCGCGAGTGCAGCGCCTCCAGCACGGGTACTACTCCAGCCCCGCCGTCTCCAACCAAGACGCCGACCATGTGGATTTTCTCGGCGTGACCTTTGTCTTCCACTCGCCCAACACCTTGTCGCATCGCTTCAAGGCTGCGAAAATCCGCGCATCCGTCCACGGGAGTCGGGACTCCCCATCCGCCGAGGCAGCGGCTCGAGCCCGGAACAATCCTCGATTCTTGATGCACGCGCCGCACCTCCTCTACGGCGCGGTGTCTCCGGAGACCATGCAGTGGAACTACAGCCTCAGCGGGTCACTGGGGGTTGCCGACCTGCCCCTGATCGCCAGTCTGTCGCCGAGCGGGGGCATCAACGGCCGGTACAAGCGGTACGAGATGATGCGCATCCAGGGGTCCGTCCGGTCGCGGAGGAGCCCCCGGGGTCGCGAGTACGACGTCGAAGCCGGCGAGATCGTCTGGTCCCTGGAGGAGAATACGCTGCAGCGATCGGGTCTTCCGCGGGAGTTCACCTTCGCCATGCTGATCCAGAAACCGCGCGCGGAGAGCCGGGTGCACTTCACGCTGGAGATCGAGCCGGTGCTGCAGAGCTGGGTTTGCAGTTATCCAGGGTTATTGTTGGGGTTGCCTCGCTACAAGCCCGTGCGACGACGGCCGGTGGACTTTCGAGTGCAGGTAGGCCAGCGGTTCGAGCCGGTCACTCCGAAACGGGGATTCAATTTTGCGGCTCTGGAGAGCTCGTTCGATGACTATGTCCATATGCCGGGACGGAAGTTTTCTACCGGGGTAGGTATATCCCCTTGGGTGAGGCTGGATGTCAAATTCGGTGGCTAAGCGGGTTAGATCTCCCCGGACGGTGGGCTATTCCAAGACGACAATGAGATCCGACGAGACGTGACGCGCGATTTGACGATGATCGATCCGCTCGGGGGCGTGACCAAGATCCCCGCTCCGGCCAATGCTGCCTGGGAGCTGGCGAGAAGGACGACACTGGACCAGGCTGCTGTGCCTTCGATGGCAGGCTTTGACCCGGGCTCATTCACAATGCGGCTGTTGTTAGACAACGACCAGAGCACGAAGCATACACAGGTGGCGTCCGAACTGACCACAATTCAGGAGACAAAAATGGAGGAGCGTAAGAGCATGCGACAAACTCGTCGGAGCAGTCGAGGCCAGAGCGACTGTAGTCAAGGCCAGAGTGGCTAATTGAAGTTTGCATTTGGACGTCTTGTTCGTCCCAGCATTTCCCAGCAAGATATACCCGAACTACTGTTTTAGAATTCTAGTCTTTCTTGAACAACAAGAATACAACCCCGAGCCTGTGCTTATATTTTGGCCTTCAACCCACCCTCCGTCCTTCAACGCCTTCTGAACCTCGTCTATCGCAGCCGTCACACAATCCGCATCAGTCCCAGCAAGGTCAGGGGCCTGTCGCCATCGCGTCACCATACTCGCCGACCCAAGACTCCTTCTCAACTCCTCCAAATTCTGCAACTGCCGCACCAGAAAATCCCCTTCGTCCTTTACCGCACCCCCGCGATTCCACTCCATGCGCGTGAATCGACTTTCCGCGAACCCTTCCACCGGCGGACTCACCGTCCACGGTAGAGGAAGAGTATCATACAAGGACGTCGAAAGCCGATTCGAGGGGAGTTCAAACGGCGCGAGCACCACATCTTCAAGGTGGAAGAGCGCCTTCTGAACGGCTCTCGCATTGGGCGTAGTGGGATCTGGCGCCTTGATCAGCTCAAACGCATCCAAATCGCCCCCTCCCCGGGGGGAACGTACGACAATAAAGCGACGCACAAGTCCAAATCGCCACCGTCCCTCCTGTCTTGACTGTTAGTTGCATCTGCTCCCAAAATTCCCGCATGGAGAACCACTGCGCCTTATACCAGAGCCAGTGGGCTGCCAGCCTCGAGCCCCTTGCACAAGTACGGTAGCGGAGGTAACCACGAACCGACCTCGCGCAAATCACTAAAATCACCGGCGCATCGTCGCCACCATCATTTTTAGTGGCAGCCGCAGCAGCAGCAGCATCCTGGGGGAGAACCCCCAGACCCCCCTTCTTTTCACCTTCCCAAACACAGCATCACGCAGCGGCAGATTCCCCCTTCGGGAGAATATGCCTCAAGGTACATGTTCTGAGCACGGACATGGGATAGGGCTTTGCCCTCGTCAACGACGGTGTCGTGCTCTACGACGAAAGATTGGGTTCTGGGTGTGGATTCCGGGTCCTGGTTGGGGCGTCGTTCGTGGGATGTGTGGTTCATGGGATTGAATAGACAGGGGCAAGCTGTTAGCATTAGTGATGATAGATCGATCGCATATGACATGGAGTGGATCCGGGACTATCATGCCATATCTCTAAGAGAGTGAGTCACTCTTGGATAGGAGTGCTAAGCATAGAGGTAGATGTAGATGGTCGTGCTGACATGGACGTGATCAAGATATTATAAGGACCTGAGATAGCTGGAGGGGAGTCCCTATACTGCAAGTCAAAGCACTATATACCGTGGAAGGGCCGGTAAGGCATGGCTAAAGGCACAGTGCAATAGCAATAGCACTAGTCATCTAGTGACAACAAACGCAATCCTCTATACGAATCAAGCACCCTCGTCTAGCCATCCCGGAACTCGGTACCATGGCGACAATACCGAAGCGTCCTCCCGAAGACAGTCTACACAGTATGATCTCGAGAGAGCCCCCATTACCAGAACGAACAAGATCATGGTATAGCTCAAGACCCACAATATAGACCCTCCTCTTATCATCCAACCCCGCTCAGCGATAGCTACTCAACAAGGTATTTAGCCAACACCCGCTGCGGTGAATAAGCACCCTCTGAATAATCCAAGTAATCCCACGCTCGGTGACTGGCCAACGTCCTGCTCCGGACTAGAGCCTAGTGGAAAGCAGTTTCTCCACCGTGTGGAGAACCACCCCAAGTGGATCATCACAAGGAGTTTCCCACTTACTGGAGCAACCGTAGCGCAGCACAGTGCGCCGTGGACACAAAATCGACCTGCCTGTTCTGGGAATTGGTTCGGGTCCACAGTTGGATCATGGAGTCTCGATTGAGTCGATTCATCCATCTGAATCATGCCCATGAGACTGACTGCCCTGTACACTTACAGCATGTACTGTAACCTATTTATGTGTCATTCGAGACTTATCAATTGACCTGACTTGTTGGAGGGATCTATTTTTTTTTTTTTTGGCTGGCTGGTAGGCGGGAACTCTACGAGTAGACTCCCAGTCTGATCATGGTGGAGATCAAGGTGGAAGTGTCCAGTCTACCTTACTTGAGTACAATATCCGATCTAAAAGAATAATCAATATCCTCAGGGTCTTAATTTACTAGGTAAGGTAGGTACTGCTACTGATATCCTCCTGCAGATCCACCGTTCCTCAAAAGCAACCACAGAAGCCCGATAGAGAAGACCGTGGACCCTGCCCCTTGTTCCCTTTCGCCATCCCTATCTTTCAATGACCAAACAACCAAGACTATATACTACCAAGTACAGTACAATTCATGGACCCTTCATCCTCTTGGCTATTATACTCATACACCACAACAACAACAACAACAACAACAACAACAACAACATCAACATCAACATCATCATCATCACCACAACCTCCCTCTCCAGATCTCCAAAATAGAACCCCTACCACCACCCCACTCTCAAAGAACCACCCCCAAACAACCATACAAATCCCCCGTTACCAAAACCCATGTATAGAGACCACGCCACCATCACCACCATCCCACCTTCCAGCATAAACCCCAACCATCCATCCAAGCAACATCAGCCCCAAAACACCACAAAACAACACCACCCCGCCAACCACCATGCCCTACCCCGTCGACGATTGATCCACGGAGCCGGGGCAGGCGGCGGTGTTGCGGCGATGCAGGTGCCTCCGGTGGTGAGGAGTTGGTGGAACAGTTCATGGCCCGGGGGGGGGTAGCTCTACTTCCAGTTTTGGGATGGTGATGGTGGTGGAGTTGCTTGTAGGGACCGCACTGCGTAGTACGGTACTGTAGCAGGCATAGCCCTGGAAGTTCATCGGTGCCAATGGCAATGGCAGCTTAATCTAACGCGGCATCTGCATCCTCTCCGGGGAGTATGGACAGATAACACCCGGAAACAAGCTCACCCTCTAACTACCTTACCCACTGCATCCCCAGTATGTTTCCCCGTTGTTGTTCCCCGTGTGTTCCCCCGGAGCGAACGACCATCTTTCTGGAGGATGAATGGCCCGGATGCGATCTCGCCACGATCGATTCTGCTGGATACGCTCAGTCCGTCGTCGCGGAGCGTGATCACCCTCCGTAGTATCGGCTCCTCCTTCAGTGATCTGACTTCCAGGCCTCCTCCCCATAGCCATTGGGGGAGGAATAGGAGCGTTGAGAATCGCATAGCTGGCTCGAAATGAGACCATTCGATTGACTTGGTTGAATTGTGGGTAAGTTGGACCAGAGTTTTCGGAGATTCTCTCAAGGAACTGAACTATAAGAAGACTATCATCGTATAAATTTCCCACCTCACCCACCCACCAAAGAGATGCAACCAGGATCGCAACCAGGCAACACGCAAGATCAACCTCTAGTCAACTACAACATCAATCCAAGCTGATAGCACCTATCATTGCTGTTCAATGTACACGACCCCATGGCTCTTAGGTAACATGTAACACTAAGAATATGATAGCATGATCATCATCAATCCAGCAACAGCAACTTAAATAGTAATGGCAATAGCAACAAGCAAAGAATGAATTCAGATAACCGCCCCTGGACCATGCCACCCAAGCCAACCCATTGCTCATGACCACATGAAAGAAGAAAACCCCCGCAGAAGATCAAAAACCCCAGTGAACAAGTGAAAAGAAAGACGAGATAGGTATTTTGATCTGCATCGTATCATCGTAGTCAAAGGAATCAAAGAAAGGAGAAAAAAAGAAAAAAAGAAAAAAAAAAAAGCCGCCCATACCTCCTCTACAGCGATTTCTTCATCCGGGTAATCATCCACAGCATATATGCATAGTCTATTCCCAAATTGCCGCCCTTCTGGAGAATAAAAAAATCGTATAGGAAAAAAGTGGGTTAGGGAGAAGTGAAGGCTAAACGAGCGAATACAACATGAGACAAGACGAAAGAGAAAAATCAGATCTGAGGTTGCGCGGGTGGTGCCGTGGTCCACGTCGACACTGGATACCCGGCGTGTGCGCCCGGGGCCGTGGCCCCCACGTAATATTGATGTCGGTCCCCGCCCGTGTAATAAGGCGTAGGAATAGGGCCCGACTCCCGACGCGAAATGCCTGGGTCAAATCCCCCAAGCCCCCGGTGTTCCAGATGCTGATGCGACCCGTCAAGCGGGCCCAGACTGAAACTCCCGCCCCGCGAGTATGTAGCAGGAGTCGAGGGATCGATCGGTGACGTTGCGTCCGTGGCCACGCTGCGCGAGGATATCGATGAGTTGCGGTAGGCGGACGGGCTGTGGTCGGAATGGGATCGGTTGCGGTCGCTCAAGGAACTCGGCATGGCCGTGTTGAGAACCGACGGGATTGACGAGGATAGAGGGTTGTGGCCGAGCGCATCAAAGCTGGTGCCATACGAAGGCTGTCGGAACTGCGTGTAGTCCTCCGGTTTCGGTGGGATTTGAGTAGGGGCGGATGGTGCAGGCAGATATGGATTGGGGGCGGATTGTGCCGGAATCGACCCTCCCATCGAGTATCCAGGTATTGGTGTGGACTGGGGAGGATGGATCGCCGTATAAGGCGGGTGCATGTAGTATTCGGGATGCGAGTTCGTCATTGCATAGCCTGGAGCGTGAGGTCGATAACCGTATAGCGCATGCGACGGGTCATTCGGATTCTCCAACCCTCCAGTTTCCACATCATCAATGGGGGCCCGGAAGCTTTGCTTCTGCGTTAGTTCTGCACGGGGCCGGATATATCTCAGCGATTCGACCACCGATGGCGGATTCAGCATCCCGTGGAGCACATCGTCCACGCTGTAATAAGACACCAGATGATGCGTCACTCCGGAGACCGTTACGCTCATCGTCTTCTTAACCAACCCCGAATCCTTAAAACCGTACGAATCCACCAGCGAGCCCACCAGCGCACGTTCCACGTCGGACTGATGCGGTCTATCGCCAAAAGGCCCGGTTGTCGAGGAAGGAGAATAGCCTCCGTTACTGTCCTGTCGCGGATACGGCTCCCCCGGTCGCGTCGACGGCACCGGGCGCCGATTGGCCTTCTTCATCGCTCTCTTCTTCTCCCCTGGCGGAAAGGGCTTCTCCAGCTCTCGGTACACCAGGAAGTTGCCCAGGATACGACTGGGACTCCAAGTCACCCCATCCGTCCATCGCTTGATCCCCGACGAATTCTCCTCGTAGATGAAGACGCTGCCGCTGCGAACGAGGTGGCTCCGTTCCCGATCGTGGGGGCGACGAGGGACATGGTGCAGGACGCCTGTGAGACAGGCTTCAAACAGAATCAGCGCATCCTGTGTTGTTGCAACATATCCCATAAAGGTGGGCTCCAACACCGTGGTGGTGCCGTTGACCATTGTTTGCCTTTGTCTGAAGGTTCGAACCTAGTTGAAAGGGGGTCCAGGAGGTAAATCGGATCAAAGTTAAGGCCACCGAAGATCAAGGTTTCCCAGCAACACGGCTAGGTCGACCGGGATGTTATCACTGGAAGTTCGGGTTTCCCCAAGCACGAAAAGGAAAGAACAGCCGTGAGGAGATTTGAAGTGTAAAAGGAACGAATTCGGGATAACAGCTGCCAAAAGGCTTTGCTCGGGACTTTGTGCTCGCTTCCACTATTTGATGTCTTGCCAGTATGCGGGAGACACACACAAGCACACAAGCACACAAGCACACAAGCACACAAGCAGAAAATGGCAAAGCTTCAAGGTAATAGCACCAAGAAACAGGGAGGGGGAGGCGAAATTAACCTTTAGGGGAGAGTAGGCGGGGGGAAGGGGATTAGGTTGGAGGAGGGGAGGGGGGGAGGGTGGTGGTGGTGGTGGAGGGGAGAGAGTAGGTAAGAAGCAGTTGGTGGTTGGCAGTAAGGAAAGGAAAGAGTCGGAGAGAATGACAAGTCGAGAGTCGAAAAGAGCTCACAGTCGACGGGCGAACCGTAGAAAAGGGTCGATGGCGCAAGTTTAAAATCCCCCTCTTTCTTGAGCTGAGTTTAAGGACCACCAGACTTGGGTGACCCGGATCGACAGCGAGCACGGGCCCGTCCTTTCTCAAATCACTCCTCGTAAAAGAAAGGTGGAAAGGATGGAAAAGGTGGAAAAGGTGGGAATCTGGAGAGAGAGCAAGCGTCTGGCCCTAGCGACTTTCTGGGTCGACTGGAGCTGCGGTTCCACGGATAACGATCGGATCGAGGAGTAGGTAGGTAGGTAGGTAGGTAGGTAGGTAGGTTGACTCTCCAACCTGACCAAGTCCAAAGCTGCGGCAATTCCCAAGCTTTCTGCTGGCAAGTCGAAGCCCGTTTTGACAGGGAGTTTAAGTCGCTTGGTCCAGGGTTGAATGGTGAACTCAATTGAGGGCCGATCAAGCGATCAAGCGATCAAGCGATCAAGCGATCAATCAAAGTGAGTGAGTGGGTGGGTGAGTAGAAAGAAGAGGGCAAAGAAGCACACAACACACCAACACCCACACAAAAATAGGGAAGAGTAAATTGATCAGGAAGAAAGAAAAAGAAGTAGAAGTAAAAGAAGAGAGCGAGAGAGAGAGTCCAGCTCAGCTTACACTGGAGGAGCTGCTGCTGCTGCTGCTGTGCTGTTCAAGGCCTGTTTCGGAGCAGGTATGTAAGCCAATCTATCCACACTGAAGTTCACAACTGTCACCGGTGCCATATGAAACAAAATATTCAACAATATACCGAACGTGCAAATAAAGATTAGAGAAAAAAAAAAGTGTTCCAGATGCTCCGTGGAAGGTGAGGAGGGGAAGTAGTGAGTTCCGATGGTAGGAGGAAGGGACAATAGACGTACAACCCTAGTAGCACAAGAACAGAAAGGTAGATTGAAACACAACCAAACAAATATAAGTAGTGGTAGTTTGGTAGTATAAAGATGAGCACTGGTGATGGTAGTAATGGTGGTGATGATAATAGTGATGATGACGATGATGATAATGATAATAATAATGATGATCACAGCAGGGGAGAGAGATAGAATTAAAGTAACCCAGACGGGGGAAAGATATAATATTGGCAGATTCACTGGTGGATTCTCCCAGTAAGGTATAGTAAGAAGATCTGCTTCTGCTCTGCTCTGCTTTGCTCTTGCTCTGCCTCTGGTGTTTTCTCTTCTCTCTTTAGAGTAGCGCTTTAGTAATGGCTATAGGGGGATGAACCAAGAGAAAGAGATTAAAGGTAAGAAAAGTAAAGTGGGAAATAAAATAATAAAATCAAAATCATCCACTGTTATTTTTATTGAGAAAGGAAGGGTAAAAAATCATTTTCCCCCCTCAGCTCAAAAAAAAAATAAAATGGGAAAGTGAGATAAAATAATAATAACGAAAATAAAAAAAAAAACGACGAGAAGAATAACCCCAAAAAATAAAAAAAGAAAAATAAGGAAAGATCGAGGCGGCACCCCCTTCCTGGTGATCAGAAAAACCAGGAAACATCGCAGGCAATAATGAATGGGTGGAAAGGCCAGTCAGACTAGACCAGAGCCGGGTATGGAGCGGGTGTTGCAGGGAACGCCAAACGGCCAGACGGGGTCTTACTCTTGCTAAAAGAGTCAAGAGACAGACAGACAGATAGGACTGTTGTGGACGGTGGACAATGGACACTGGACACTGGACAGTGACTGGATTGTAGTGGTAGCCCGGAGAGATTTCCCTCTCTCCCCCAATCTCTTTCCATTCCCCTCGCGCGCAGGCTCGCTCTACTCTCAGAATAGTCATTGAGAGCGAGCGAGCGACCGGCGTATGCAGCGGGGAGAAAAGAGAGGGGGGCGACCCAGACTGGTAGACTAGGTCCGAGCAGAACCAAAGAGGTAGAAGACGAAAGACGGATGGGTGGGTGCAACTAGTGATCCCAAGGAGGAGGACGAGCCCGCCAGAGGACTGGCAACAGTGGATCTCCCCCGGCCCATGAAGCCCATCGCGGGTCCATCAACTGCTCCTCTTCCCAGGCTCCTCCCTCATTCCCTCCCCCGAAGACCAGACGGTAAGGCCCGACAGTCTAGACGGCAAACCCACCCAGCGATGTAAAAGGAAGGACTTAAATGATTCATACAACCAGAAATAGAGACGGAACCCAGAGAAACTGAGGCCGGGAAGAAATTACATGGACCGAAGAAAGTGAGAACCAGAATAGCTGCGAAGAAAGAGAGGGAGGAAGAGAGAGAGGGGGGGCAGAGGGAGAGGGAGAAACATGGAGCAGAGCAAGAGCAGACAGTAGTTTAGGAGAGTGAGACTACCAACTGGGGAAGGAAATATGGAACCATGAAATAGATGACACACGACTTTCACTAATGACATTATCATCCACGAGGATGTTTAGGGGGAGATGAAGTAAAAGAAAAAAAAATAAGTAAGAAGAAAAAAAGGTCAGGAGAAAATTACAACCTCAATAAAAATGAAAATAACAACCAAATCAGGAACCCAACTGAAGCCCATACATAATGATGATGCGTAGAGGATGGAAGTCAAGCAAGCAAGTGGAGGTTCAGGGGAGACTGACTGGCAGACTGACTGATTGACTTACTGAAGAAATTGAGGCAAACCCGGCGGGGATGGGAAAAGCAGGTACCCCGTTTCACCTCGCTCCTTGGGGGACACAACCTTAGCTGCTGAAGCAGCTAATTTTGACGTTCGATATCCTTTTGCGCAACTATCTTGCTTCCACCCGCCTGCTGCTTTCTTCTCCGTGTTCCGAGTGATGCCCAAACACGAAACAACGAGCCTCGCCCGACACAACGGATAGTAACGAGGGCACACGAGTTTGACTAGCAGAAGTGCGAGAATTAAACTACACGAAAAGGAAGAAGAGTGGATCGTTAGAGGAAGATAAAACGTAGGGATGCGACAAGAGCCAAATGAGCCCCAGAAAGACTAAAGGCGTTAATGGCAGGTACTGCACCAGAGTGATGGACACTGGGAAGGAAGAAGAGAAAAGATGGGAAATGATGATGGTGATGATGGTGATGGACGATGGACGATGGAAAAAGCGGATAGATTCGGGAGGGGGCCAAGGACGGACTTAAAAGGAACCTCGAAGGATTAACCTGAACGTGGAGAGGTAGGGGGTAAATTTGGGGGGAGATACATTTACAAGTCGCAGATCCAATGAGACTCGATCAAATTAGTACTCAGTACTACCAGGTACTCATAGGATTGAGTGGCTGGTGATTGATTTACTGCTGAGAGGAAGCACTGAGTGCTGTCAGGTCAATTGAACCAGGCATAGTAAATCAGTGGTCGCAATATCTACGGAGTACAGTACACAGTAAGTTACCAGTCACACATCCACCCCCATCCCACTTCACTCTAGCCCATCGTTGTAGATCTAGTGTAGCAATAGTCTTCGTCCCTGTACCATGGGAGCGAAAGGTGGAGCTTCTCAAACTGGGGTATCCATAATACATGAGTACTAGTTATATTTGATTATATTAAGATGAGATCCTAAGACCACACTCAATCCACCTACTCCTGCTTTAATCCTAACTTCCTAATATATCTCCAGTAGCAGTACTAGCATCATCTGCGGGATGATGAGGATCAAATTAAACAGATAGACCTAGGGCCCAGGGGGGTCGGCTTGGGAGAAAGGCCCAGCAGAGGAGGGGGAGGCTGTGTCTTCGGGTAACTAACTAATTGCTGGTACTATGTAGGTGCTGTACATGCCCACGTATAAGTTAGTATGCGAGAGCGTGTAAGCCGCCTGGCGCACAGAGAGGGAGAGAGAGAGAGAGAACATGCACTTGTGAGCATGGACTAATTATCTTGTATCGTGTCCGAGCAGGTCACCGGATCTTTCTTGGAATGATGGTGGGATGATGGGATGATGGAGTAAGAAAGCAATCAATCAATCAATCAATCATTCTTCGGAGGAGTTTATTGTGAAGCATCGGACAATCTCGCTCTCTTTGGATGACCATCCCATCCCATGATGTCTATCTGTCAGTCAGTCAGTCAGCCTGGCTGGTTTCCAGTCACTTCCTCATCTATGATCCATTCCCCTCTCAGTCTCGCTAAGCTAACAGCGCTTGGCCCGTGAACGTCCACGGACGGATTGAGTGAGGGGTTGGCTGCAGCGGGTGGAGCCCAGCCCATCCAACCACGGCTCCGCCCCTGACGAAGTATTGATGTGCACCGGTCATTGAGCCTGCTGCTGCTGCTGCTACTACCGCTGTAACTACTGCTACACTCAGTATTTCTCAGTGAAGTGGACGTCCACTGCTGCTCAACTCTGGAGATGGGATGTGGTCTATTTAGTTAGTTAAGCTATATACTGTACTTATTACTTGTCACTTACTCACTACTCTAAACTACTCGGTGCTGTACTCAAGTAATCATTACCCGTCACTGTTCCCTCAGCCACTGCCCAGAAAAAAATTCATCGTCATGCTTCGCATCGCAATCCCGAAACCTCACCAAGATTACTAGCAGTTACATCACAAATTTAAATGACGTCCCGCCTTCTGAGTTACTAACTCCACACATAGCAAAATATATGAAGAGGAAATGGTGATGTCCAAGTTATTTATCATCCTTGATTGTCAATTGCAACTTCAGTATTTAGAGATACGTACTGGGTAAGTAGTCTTGGTTTGATCGACCCTCCCAGGACTACTAATTCTGTCTCCATATTTAATTAATCAATCGAATGAGAGAACAACTCAGTCGAACCGAAGGGTGAGACTAGCAACGGCCGCCAAGGACTCAGATCTCCGGCGCAAAGAAGGACGGGTCATTATTGCATGGCGTAGCAGCGGGAACGCCTCAGATTGGTCCCAGAAAGAGGGTCTGGAGAATTAGGACTCTCCATTTGATGTACAGTGCATTGAATCCATCCATGCTACACATCGAATGGAGACAGGCTACTCTATTCCTTCGTTCGGGACGGAGTCTGACTGTCCCAAACAGGCAAACGCCCTCCTAAGCCCACCGCGGCCTAAGGCTGCGACCAACAGCGCCGCCGACCAGTGTCTGCCAGCCAGTATTCCCACCAGTCTTTAATCAACGCAAGTAGAGAGAACTAACCAAGACGCCACGCCGGATAGCTGAGGGATGCCCTTTGGCGGTGTCTCTTAGAAGACATCGGAGCAATTCACATATGCTAGGTCCTAATACGCCTGCTTATCTTGGTTGAGTCTCCAGGAATTCTTGATCGGGGCTTCCTAGTCAAACAAATCCAATGAGCGCTCAACCCATGGTGACGAAGAGACGGCGGCGGCGTTGTTCGCTCCCAGAAATCCGCTCAGCGGTGGGTGACAACGCAACGATTGGGGAGGGGGGGTGACCTGTAACGACTAACAAGTAGGTCGCGATTCGTTACCGGGAGAGCGCGAAGGGGACTGTGCGCCAGCCAACTTCCACCTCGCATCATCGATGTCCGATCACCATGTCCTTTTGGTCGACAATGATGTAGATCAGAGGAGAGGGAATGTTGCTTGTGAAGGCTTTTGCAGGAGGCGTCCGTAGTCTTTCGATTAGCTGGGTCAGGGACATCACCCCTCTTTATCTTGGACGTCCACACCAGCGGACTATGGACTCCTTTGCGTCCAACTGGATCGGTGGGAACCTCCAGTCAGCCTCCATCGGGATCCGTGCAGAGACTCAGGAGTCCTCACCCACAGGAATGCCCAAGGTAAGGATGATTGCGCAGCTCGAGTCAGTCGACGACCGGAGAATTCCCTCTCAATTCATTAGTAACGGGCCATGACATCTCTGCCACGATGGATACGAAGTAGGTGGAGACAGACGTGAGGTGGGTAGGAAGGAAGGAAAAGTGGAAGGGAGAACCCAAGCGGCAAAGAGGCGACAGGTCGTCCCCCACAATGACGATCACGTTGGGTACTGTAGGTAGTAAAGTTAATGTACAGTGCAGTCGGGGTGCGAGGAAACAGCCGGAAGTTCCGATAATGCCTTGTCGACCCATCAATGCGTTTCGAGCTGGGTCGACTAGAATCATCGGTAACTTTGTCAGGATTCAGGGGATGTCGTTCCTAGAGTTTATATTGGACAGTCACGAAAACCTTCGCGGGAGATCCCCCAGCAGTCCCAGAGCTACGGCGTTTCTGTGGTGTTGTTTGTTATCGTCGAGAAATGGTCTGCCCGCCCGAGTCGACTTCCCGAGGCACCTGGTTGGAAGCTTAAGGCCACAGCCAGGTCACTGCAATTTTAGCGGGGGGTAAAATTGCATCATGAGGGTTTGTAGAACTCAGGCCAGAGACAGGTGATGATGGATCACAGGACTGTGATGGGTTCGGCAGCTCCGCTGGGGACGACCCGACAAAGCGGGTGAGCAGACGATCGCGTGCTTGTCGAAACTCAATTCAATTATGGGGAACAGCAGCGGATCTGGAATCGACTAGACTCTTTCGACCGTACACATGTACGAGTATATAGCCTTCGCTTTGCGGCCCCCAGAAGCTGCTGAGTCGTCATTATTTAATGTTTGTCCTGCACTCGACTAGGCAAGCGAGATCTGGGGTTCGGGGATCTTCGAAGTGAGTTTCGTTTGACAGGTCCATTTTACGATTCCGAAGGCGGTGGGCCAGCAATGGGCCAGCAAGCTCCCCCAAACCTGTTGCTAGGGTCTTTTCACCTTTGCTAAGTGACATCTCCTCTTGATAAATTTTGATCGTGGTAACCCTTTTTGTCTGTAACCTCGAGACAGTTGACAATGCGCCTTTTCTCCCAGTGTCGTGGAGGCAGAAGATGTCAGCTCGCGGGGGGAAACGCCTAAAGAAATGACTATCCTGCGGACAAGGAGACTGCTTCCGGAGACTCTCCTAACAGAGATTGGTATAGCGCACACATTGCGTGCAACTGGCAGCCGCAAGAATCACGGTATGGTAGCGATGGGCAAGTCAATATGCTGGAGTTACGAGACCAAGTTGCATCACTGTCCGTTGATTTTGAGTATTATGACTACCATGTGGCTGGACTCAAATGTCTCACTGAGTGAGTGGTGCAGAGGTCTTTTATATGAGGCTGAGTGAAGACACATATAGTACGGAGTTCTGCTCATCCAGAATACATTGGGTAGTATGTACACACAGTACAAGTAGCATCTCTCACTCGGGAATTGCCACATGAGACAGCTGCTCTCTCCCCTCGTGTCTGGAACCACAGCCTCGGGACGGCTTCGGCCGGGAGAGAGAAGCCAATGGCTGGTTCAAACTCCCTGGCCTACCTTGTAGTTACCGATACTCAAGTCACGGGTACAGTACTAAGGTATGTAATAAGCAGCCACACACTGCGTGTGATCAGTGGTCCTTCGCAGACTTGTTCAGGCTTAGGAAAGAAAGAGAAGGATATGCACCAGCCAAAGAGGAGGAATCTCAGCAATGCATGGGCTCGGGGCCTCTCTCCAATTGCCCATTTGCATACGGTCGAGTGTTGATGTACGTGTCGTT